TCAGTCACTGCTGATGCTACTGGGGGCAAGTGTCAGCTCCCGGTTTGTGCCTGTTACTGCTGCTGCTGTTGCCAGGAGTGCTCTCAGCTCCCAATCCTCTGCTGCTGTTGGGGGCTAAGGATGCTCAGTTCCTGGGACTTTCCTGTTGCTGGGGTAGGGGCTCCACTCCAAATCCGCTGCTGCAGTTGTCAGGGGCAGGTCTTGGCTGCCTGAGCCTTGCTGCTGCTTGGGCTGGGGCCTGCTCCTGATCAGCCTCTGTTGATGTTGCTGGGGATGGGTTTCAGCTGCTGATCTGTGCTGCTGCTGCCTGGGGATGGATGTCCACTACTGAGCCTCTGCTACTGGTGTGTGTCTTGGCTCCTGAGCCTCAGTTGCTGTTGGAGATGGGGCTCCACACCCACCCAGTCTCTACTGCTGTGGGGGAAGGTGCTGGGCTCACAAGCTGGTGCCGCTGCTGCTAGTGGTGGTGCTCAGCTCTCATCAGGCTGCTGCTGTTAAGGGTGCTGCTCTGCTCCCATGCTGGTGCTACTGCTGCTGCTGTGGGGGATGATGCTCAGCTCTCAGCCAGTTGCTGCTTCCACAAGCAGGTACCTTGACAGTGCTGTGCATTGACACAGTGGGGTCCACTGGTCCAATGGTGCAAGGCACACTGGTGGACTCAAGTCACTTAGCCCTAGCCACTCCCCACTGCCTCCTCCCAGAGAAAACCAGTAGATCTTCCAAAATGGCAAGGCCTTCCAGCCACACAGGGAGAAGTGTCCTGACAAGTCGCTTACTACAGTAGTTGGGTAGTCCCCCATCCACAGTACCAGAACCCTCTGCCTCACATTTCTGCATTGCTCTGTGGTTGCACATCCACTCACACTCTCTCACACTTGCTCACACTCTCATACACTCACCCTCATTCTGGTCCTGCCTGCTGCCATCCTATCCACAACTTCTTCATATTTTGAGTCTCCAGAGTCTCTTGGTTCTAATGAAGCCCTCAAAGTTTTTTTATTCAGTCAGTGATACAATATTCCATGTCTAGTTTTAATCGGTGTAAGTTATTCTTACTGATAACATTTACCATGAGGGTCCAAGTGTCCTTAAGGTCAAAATGCTAGTGTCCACAGTAAGTGTAATTATTTGATTGACAGAGATTCAGTTTTGACCCAGCTTTTGGAACATGCTGCTTGCCTAAAAGGCTCCACCATCCTTCTCTTCTGCCGAGCTACTTAGGGAACAGAAGAGAATTTTTTCAGAGCTGCTTACAAAGTATAGGCAGATGAAAGCTACAGAGTGGTTTCACACATTCTGGTTAGGAATTAAAAGCAGCTCTCCAGAGAGAGAAAAATGGTAGCAGATTGAATGGAAGCTACACTGACCTCCTTCCAGGACCAAACTGGAATTACAACTAATATTTATTTTATTATTTATTTTTTTTAATCCTCACCCGAGGATATTTTTACATTTATCTTCAGACAGAGCGGGAGGGAGAAAGAGAAACATTGGTGTGAGATAGACACACAGATTGGCTGCCACCCACACGACCCCAACTGGGGCTAGGGATGAAATGCAACCGAGGTAGGTCCCCTTGGCTGAAATCGAACCCAGGACCCCTTGGTCCACAGGCCAATGCTCTAACTGCTGAGCCAAACTGGCCAGGGCACAACTAATATTTCGAAAAATCAGCTGGAATAACCAACTAAAGACCAGCTGGAGAGAACCCTTATAATCAAGGATGTAAAAAGGAGCCCACATTGAGTCCGGTAGGAATTGCAGAGGTGCAAGAGAACTGGCTGGGCTCCCACAGGCAATAGCTGAAGTTTCCGAAGGACATCTCAGCTGCAGGGGGTTCCCCCTAAGTCTCATGTCTAAACTCCAAACTGGGTATCCCAGCCCAGAGTGATGGAACTGGGAAAGGTGCTCACATAACACCTTGGCTGTGGAAAGCACCAGAGGTTCTGTCTGGCAATGAGAGATGGCTGGAAACACAGGCACCATCTTGAAAGGCCAGCACACTAAATCATCTACAGCTACTCACCTTGGGCTCCAGCAGAGGGAGAGCTGAATAGACTAGAGCTGCATGAGGATTCAGGGCTCTGGGGGTGAGCTGGGAAGGCAGACACCAAGAGCCCTATGCTGAGTCATTCCTCCAAGCTGCAGAAGCCATAGTTCCTAGGCAGAGTGTTCCTATCAAAGCAGCTTTAGCCCGGGGTGGGAGGTGGGGGGATTTACATAGATTGTGAAATGATTACCACATGTTTTTGGCCTCCATAATCTTATATAGATACAATAAATAGAGAAAGAAAAAAATGTTTTCCTTGTGATGAGAACTCAGAATTTACTGTCCTAATTAAAAGTTTCATATATATGTCATACAGCAATGTTAACTATAGTCATCATGCTATTAGAGTCCTAGTACGTATTTACCATATAACTGGTCATTTATACATTTCGACCACCTTTCTCCGTTCCCTCTACCCCTATCATCCCTAAGGATTTCTTTTTTAAGTTGGCCTGCCATAAAATCATATTTTCAAAGTCTGGGAAAAGAAAAATATCCTTCTCTAATTTGGAACTGCACTGAACATTAAAATGGAAAAAACAATTACAGTAATGCAGAAATATACATGTTGTTTCTTCAAAATTCTTTTAAGATCTTTGAAGAGGCCATAAGGAGCCCAACAAGGAAGAATTGATTTCCACTAAGTTTTCGGTGTTTGAAGAAAACTCATACAGAAAAAAAACAAACAAACTGATTTTTAAAATAAGTCTGTTTCAGAATTCAAAATATCATCAGAGAAGGAAAAATTAAATAAGACATTCTCCATTTTTTTGTTTTTAGAGAGAGAGGTAGAAACATCAATGAGATATATGGATCGGCTGCCTCCTGCATGCCCCCCACTGGTGATTGAGCCCGAAACCTGGGCATGTGTCCCAACTGGGAATCGAACTGGGACCTCTCTGTCCATGGAACGACACTCAATAAACTGAACCACACTGTTCAGGCCATTCTCCGTTTCTTTCCTACATACGTAACTATTTGAAATGCAACTTTGATTTCACAACTTCAAATTGCCTCTATGCTTTAAAACCATTGTCCCTGAGATTTCTTTTTTTTCCTTTTTTTCTTTTTATTTTTTTTTATCATCACCAGAGGACATCTTTCCATTTTTTGTTCAGATAGAGTTGGGGGTGGGGGAGAAACATCAATGTGAAAGGGACACATCGAGTGGTTGCCACCCACACGACCCAACCAGGGCCGGGGACAAACTGCAACCGAGGTACGCGCCCTTAGCGGGAACCAAACCCGGGTCTCTCTGGACCACAGGCCAATACTCTAACTGCTGAGCCAAACCGGCCAGGGCCCTGAGATTTCTTTTATACTGTGTAATGATGGGACAGAAATAAACTTCATCATTATTTTATTAAATATAGAATACTATCCAAGTCTTATTGCATTCAAGTTCTTCTTTTACAAAGTCTTACATTTATGTATCTTAAGAATATGTGCCCTGGCCAGCTGTTCAGTGGTTAGAGCATCAGCCCACAGACCAGAGAGTCCCGGGTTTGGTTTCTGCTAAGGACATGTACCTCAGTTGCAGTTTGTCCCCAGCTTCGGTTGGGGTCACGTGGGTGGCAACCATTCAATGTGTCTCTCTCCCATCAATATTTCTGTCTCTCTCTTCCTCCCTCTCTCCTTCCTGCTCTATCTGAAGATAAATGCAAAAATGTCCTCGGGTGAGGATAAAAATTTTTTTTAAAGAATATGCTACCATATAGCCTAGAAATTTAAATATCCAACAAAAAGCTTAAAAAGTACTTCAAATAAACTGCTGTATGAGAGGACACAAAGAAACACTATAAAAATAGTTATTTTTTTCTCCCATGTATTGTTTAATTAAGCCTACTATAAATACTACTAATTGTCCCTGTTAAGTAGTTCTATTGTGCTTTTTTTAAATTGAAAGGCAGTTTTGATATTTTAATATGTTTTTATTGATTTTTAGAGAGAAAGGAAGGGAGAGATAGAAACATCGATATGAGAAACATCAACCAGCTGCTTCCTGCATGCCACCTACTGAAGGTCGAGCCTGAAACCCAGGTATGTGCCCTGACCAGGCATTGAACCTGGACCTCTCAGTCCACTGGACGATGCTCAATCCACTGAGCCACACAACCCTGGCTATTGTGCTTCTGTTCAAATAATAGCATTTATGTAACAAGAAAGTAAGTAAAACAAAATAATGTAGCATTTCAAATAAACATCAATTTTTCATATTTTTATATTAAAGTAGTAATGAAAGGGGCGGGAGAGAATAATAGAGAACTAATCAAAGTGACATACTAGCCATAGTTATAAGAAATATTAATCATCCTTTGCAATGTTAATCATAGTTACTTTGTTCTAATTAAAGAAAAGTCCACTCTGATCTGGCTGGGAGATGAGCACCTCAGGAGCTTACCTCAGAAATGTTGTCCATTCTCCTAATCTGAGAACAAGGACTACCTGACATCATGGAAGGATTAAAAACCTGATTATCTATCTGAACACTGGACCCTGGACCTGTGACTGTGACACACTGGCGACCAGCCCCACAGCCCCTGGCACATTCCTTCCTCCTTTGCCCGAAATCTTTTACAATCCACCCCCCACCCTCAACATTCCTCTCCCATTGCCTGTAACCAATTTACCCATTTATTTTTTATTTTTGCCCAACTGCTCTTTCTCATGTAGTCATTGTTTCTCTAACCTTTAAAAGCTGACAAGTGGAGGTGGGGCAGAGCAGATTTTATGGGATGACCCACTGCTCTCTCATACTGCCGGCAATATTAGAATAAGTGCTCATATACGATTCAACCTTATCTGTGCTTAATTGGCTCAAGTATTGACAGGCGGCCGGACCCATTAGTTGTCCAGTTTCATATTTTGGTGAATCTCCCAGTACTGAGAGCGGGACCCCACAGGCTGCCTGGGACTAGGGGTTCCTGAGACCAAAAAACAGGACTCTCACCATTTGCCTGTTAGAGTCCTGCGTTCAGCTCCAGCAATCCCGGTCATCTCTTTCAAGTTGAATTGAGCATCCTGTAACTGTAGCTCTGCAACCCCATAGTTCTGTAATTCTGTAATGAGAGTTGTCTGTTGTCTGTTGCCTCCCATCTGGTATGAGCCTGATCAGCTCCTGGTTGCAAGTGATCTCCCATGGTCCTTGCCTGGTCTCCAAACCCAAGCCTGATCAGCTTAGGGTTGAGACATTGCTATGTATGATACAGGGCATTATCTCTGGTTCCTGGTCTTTGAACCTGAACCTGACCAGCTTAGAGTTGAGGCACTTGCTGTGTGGCACAGGGCATTCTGTCTGGTATTCTGTCTGGCTGTATAAGCAAAAGGGCACAATAAGCCATAAAGTTTTCAACTGTCATGCACACTTGTAAATATTGTATATTAGGGTGGTTTTGGGTTTTGTCTTGTATAATCTTGATTAATTGGTTTAAAGATGGGGGCATATCGCCCTGGCCGGTTTGGCTCAGCGGTTGGAGCATCCGCCTGCGGTCTAGAGAGACCCGGGTTCAGTTCCTGCTAAGGGCACGTACCTCGGTTGCAGTTTGTCCCCGGCCCTGGTTGGTCGTGTGGGTGGCAGCCACTCGATGTGTCCCTTTCACATCGATGTTTCCCTCTCTCTCTCTTCCTCTCTCTCCCTCCCACTCTGTCTGTACAAAAAATGGAAAAATGTCCTCGGGTGAGGATAAAAAAAAAAAAAGATGGGGGCATATCCCTCTTAGCTGGGGGCCCCGCTGCTTGTGGTGAACTGAACTCCTGGCAAGGATTGCAGGAACTTCCCAGAAGCTGCAGAAAGTTTTTATCTCGAGGGACATCCTTGCTCTCCCTCTCAAGGTATCAGCTGCCCAAATGCTTAACTAATGAAAAAAACAGGTATAAGAGCTCTCATTTGTCTGTGTGTTCTGTTCTGTTAGAGAGCTCTCTGCAAATTCCTATCTGTCTGTAAAGTAACTTTGGTTTCAGATGTTCTTCGCTTGCTCTCCTATCTGTTAGGGATTTGGTTTGCTCTTTCCTGTTTTATCCTCTGTCTCTGCTGTTTGGACTTTGCACCACTCAGACCTCGTGAGGGTCATTTTGCTGTGCCGACTGGTGTGAGATAGGATTCTGAAGCTGGTGTCCCACTCCTTCCTTTTGAAAGTACTTATTTATTTACTGTACGTGTTGTTTCTGTTTCTGTTTCTGTTTCTGTTTTGAGATAGGATAGGATCTCTTCTTGTGTGCAAAGTTTCTTATTGTTACATCACAAGGATTGTACTCAGAAAGATCTAAATTGATGGTTCAAAGAGGGGAGAAAGGTCTCACTCTCCTCCCAGAGAGTAAAAGGAGAATGTGATTAAATAAGTCTTTGAAACACTCCAAATCCTTCTCCATGAGGTCGGGACACTACAGGAGTTAAGGGGACAATAAGTAAATTAATAGCACCCCAAAGCCCAGTGCAGGCTGTGGAAGCAGCAGGGGCCCCACCTCAATGTGAAGGGGGAATAAATGGTACTTTTAAATTCGAGCCACTGGAGGCCTGGGAGCTGCTGCATCCCCAGGAACAAGCCAGGAGACCTGTTATCTCCCCTCCCCCATGCCTCTTCTCCAGGGTCCTAGAAGCAGCCAAGGACACTAGGTAGTTAAACAGCTCACTTTTGAGCATGCAAAGGAATACAGTAATCACCAAGAATCATATGGGTAATTTAAATTTAATTGATAAATTTTTAAGTTATTAACATAAAATACAGGATTGTTTCGCCTGAGTTTGCAGGAATAAGTTCATGTTATTTATCTCTGTACAAAATGTGTCAAGAAAATGGATTGAATAATAATTGATTGGTTTTTTAAAAATTTTTTATCCTCACCCGAGGACTTTTTGCATTTATCTTCAGATAGAATTGGAGGGAGAGAGGGTGGAAGAGAGAGAGAGAAACATCAATGTGAGAGAGACACATCAAGTGGTTGCTACCCACACGACCCCAATCGGGGCAGGAAAAAACTGCAACCAAGGTATGTGCCCTTAGCGGGAACCGAACCTGGGTCTTTCTGATCCACGGGCCAACGCTCTAACCGCTGAGCCAAATCGGCCAGGGCTAATTGACTGTTTTTAAGAAATAATAAATGAAACTAAAATGAACAGTTTTTGATAAAGCTTTTCAGTAATAATTATATATATCTAAATATAGTTTTCCAAAGTCTTTGGTAACTTAAGCTTTGAAGATTTGCTGGGTTAAATGATTAAAATGTCAAATATTTAGGTATTTTAAAATAACAGGATATTAAAATATTAATCTGACTTTGTCTACTTTTGGCTTATTACAGAGGAGCTAGAGGATGGATTTAGATCTGACAATGAATATCTTATATTTTATTTGAAAACCATATCTTTAAAATGTGAATGTATTGCCCTGGCCGGTTTGGCTCAGCGGTTAGAGCGTCGGCCTGCGGTCCTGAGAGACCCGGGTTCGGTTCACGCTAAGGGCGCGTACCTCGGTTGCAGTTTGTCCCCGGCCCTGGTCGGTTGTGCGGGTGGCAGCCACTCGATGTGTTCCTTTCACATCGATGTTTCTCTCTCTCTCTCTGTTCCTCTCTCTCCCTCCCACTCTACCTGAACAAAAAAATGGAAAAATGTCCTCGGGTGAGGATTAAAAAAAAACAAAAAACAAAAACAAAACAAAAAATGTGAATATATTTGCCAATCTGAGGAATGTTAATTACTTGCTTGTCACACACACAAAGAAAGATCAAGGTTTCTAGGAGTTAAAAGTTCAAATTAATTGGAAGAAATTGTATAATCTTGGTGATAAAAGGTATAAGATATAAAGATACTTTAAAAAAAAATAAAGTTGTTCTGAAACTTGTTATTTCTGAATAGGTAAAAAGGTTTGTGAAAGTTGTAGAAAGGTTTGTAAAATCTTGAATGGAAATTATAAGTAAACGGAATAGTACATTTAATTAGATAAATGGATCTAAAATTAACTATTATAGAATTTGTTTGGTCATTTTCCAGTCTGTTAAAAGAGAAAAAGTTTTTCCTGTGTTTGCCTAGGGAGCAAATGTTCTATATATTATTGAATTGGTCATGTGTTATACTATGTCATTCAGATACTTGATTACTTAAAAACCCATCTTCTTAATGGTAAGAAATGGAGTTTCACTAACTTATGTTTGCGTTTAATAACTTTTAAAAAATTTTTTCTTCATTAATTTTTAGAGAGGAGGGGAGAGGGAGAAATAGAAACATCGATGAGAGAGAACATCAATTGGCTGCCTCCTGCATGCCCCCTCTGGGGATTGGGCCCACAACCTGGGCATGTGCTCTAAGCGGGAATAGAACCAGTGATCCCTTGGTACAGGGTCACTGAGTCACACCGGCCAGACTAATAACTTTGGTTGTCACTTTGAATAAGTAATTTAATACTGTTGCATAAAAATAATAATAATAATAATAATAACAGTAATATAACCTTTTATGCTTAAGTTACATAGGAAGTTTTTTGTTTGTTTGTTTGTTTGTTTTTATCCTCACCCGAGGGCATTTTTCCATTTTTTGTACAGATAGAGTGGGAGGGAGAGAGAGAGAGAAACATCGATGTGAAAGGGACACATCGAGTGGCTGCCACCCGCACGACCAACCAGGGCCGGGGACAAACTGCAACCGAAGTACGTGCCCTTAGCGGGAACCGAACCCGGGTCTCTCCAGACCGCAGGCCGACGCTCTAACCGCTGAGCCAAACCGGCCAGGGCAAGTTACATAGGAAGTTTTATCAAATAAAGAAATAATAACTATATTTTACTTATATATGCATATTATTAATGGATGTTCTGGGGATTGTTTAAAAAACTCCAGAAGTCTACAAAGTCTAATATATTCTTTTATAACTCTAATTGTTATTCTGGAATGTTGGGCTTTACAAAAAGGACAGGTTTCTGTGTCAATTAAATCTATAACCTGTCATTTTAAGTTTCCTTTTTGTCAATTATAGAAGTCATTGTTTTACTCTGATGCATTTACAAAGATGTTACATCTTCTGAATGATCCATGGAAAGGACTTTAACTTACTTTAACTTACATATGCCTGAGAATAAATTTTTAGATAATCCCCTTGAACTAAATGAAAATTACTAGAACTCTGGGGAACATCTGAATTTATGAAAGTACTGGCAAGAAAAAAAAAATCAGGAGAAACAGAATTTGATTATGGGGCACACTGACCTGAAAGTAATTATAGTTTTGGTAATTATTTTAAGTATTGCTGATTTTAATCTTTTGGTTTTTCAGACATAAGGAAACTTGTTTCTTTTCTTAAAGCAATTTAGTAAGCAATATTGAGGTATTTATATTTTTCTCCCTACCTGATCCCTCCAGAATTTGGAAGCTCTTAATGAGTGAGTAGTATTACTTTCATGGCAATATGTTTATTTGCATGAATCCAACAGGAATCTGATTTTTAACTTTTTTTTTATCATTCCAATTTTTAAAAAATTTTTAATTAACTTTTTAAAAATATTTATTTTTTACTGGTTTTAGAGAAAGAGGAAAAGATAGGGAGAGAGAGATAGAAATATCGATGAGAGAGAACACTGATTGGCCCCCAATGGGGATCGGGCCCATAACCTGGGCATGTGCCCTGACTGGGAATCGAACCAGCAACCTCTTGGTGCATGGGTCAATGCTCAACCACTGAGCCACATCGGCTAGGCTTAATTGATTTTTTAGAGAGACAGAAACATCAACGTGAGAGAGAAACATCAATCAGCCACCTCCTGCACTCCCGGAAATGGGGATTGAGCCCGTAACCCAGGCATATGCCCTGACAGGGAATCAAACTGGCACTTCTCAGTTCTTGGTACAACGCTCAATCCACTAGCCACACAGGCCAGGTAGAATCTGATTTCTTTTCTTTCTTTCTTTTTTTTATCCTCACCCGAGGACATTTTTCCATTTTTTGTTCAGATAGAGTGGGAGGGTGAGAGAGGAAGAGAGAGAGAAACATCGACATGAAAAGGACACATTGAGTGGCTGCCACCCGCACAACCCAACCCATCCAGGGCAGGGGACAAACCATAACCAAGGTACACGCCCTTAGCGGGAACAGAACCCAGTCTCTCTGGACTGCAGGCTGACGCTCTAACCGCTGAACAAAACCGGCCAGAGCTGATTTCTTTATAATAGGACCCATAAAATCAGTTTCCAATTGTGGCTTTATTAATCAAGACCTTGAATGGAATGTCATGTCTGAGAAAGCCATGCCAGAACTCTGGATGTCACCAGAAAGCTTTAAGGGATGAAGATAGACTTTGAAGCTGAAAACGCCCCTTACAGACATAGCCTGCTACCTTGCTTGGTCACATGGTTCATAGCAATCTTTCCAGGGAAGGAATGCAGGTAGTTTTCCTGAAAGATGGCAGAAAGGAACCTCAGCATCTTTGGGAACCTCAGAGACTTGAGGACACAGCCCAAATCAGCAGACATTCCAGGCACCACCTGATGGCAATTGTGGCTTTGGTTTCTCTGCCCTGAGAGGCTAACTGTTGACTGCTCACTACAGCTCAATCTAAATATTCCTTATGAATGAGTAACATTTCAGCAAAGTAAAATTGGAAAAAGCATGTGCAATCAATTTGACCTATTCATATTCTTGAGTTTATGCAAATAACCAAACCAAACTAGAACTAGACTTAATACAGTCTCTTTAAATATGTTTTTATTGATTTTTTTTTTTTTAGAGATAAAGGAAGGGAGAGAGAGAAACATTGATATGAGAGAGATACATCAATTGGCTGCCTCCTGCCCGGCCCCTACTAGGGATCAAGCCCACAACCTGGGCATGTGCCCTGACTGGGAATTGAACCGGGACCCATGGAACAATCCTCAATCCACTGAGCCACACTGGCAGGCTTAATACAGTCTCTTTGAAAGGAGAGTACTCTTAGGGAGAGAGAAAAAAATTATGTCTCAATGAAAAACCACAACACCCAATTTTGGGTATTGAACTCCAGTGCAGTTAACTGTCTTCAAAGTTTTGTTGAAGGTTGTGTCTGTGTGTGCTATACATGCCTCAGCAACTTATAACCACCAGCATGTTCTAACTACAGACAATCTGTCAGACTGTCACTGTATAATTTCATTCCAGCAGAAGGTTTACATCTGGAAATCTTCTCAACTGGTTTATGACTTAATGTACACATTAACCTTTATGTTTTGTGTTCTTCTGTTTTACAGAATATATCCCTATGTCCCTGTTTACCTAATTGCTTACTATGTAAGCCTCATCATAGAAGTCATCTGCATCACTCTCTCTTGAAATATGAGACTCAGTGGTCTGGACTTATGATTGAGTCAGTGAAACATGGACAGTTTATTGGCCTCAGTTAAAAACTGCTTTCCCCTTTTGGCTCCACCCTTCTTTTGTCAGGCAGGGAGAATCTCAGGATGCGGTGCTCCCCACCATCAGCAGGAAGCAGTTACAGAAGAGACCAAATGCCCTTTTCCTTGAAAGGATTCAGAGCCAAAACTCATAAGGGGACAAGATAATAGACCAGGAATAATACAGTTCGATGAGACACAGTCCATTAAAAACTAATCTCATAGATAAGAGATGTTAAAATCAACAAGAGGAATGAACTGGGCAGGAGAGAATAGAATAGAGAACTACTCATAGGGGCATACTGGCCATAGTTACAAAAAATGTTAATCATCCTTTGCAATGTTAATCGTGGTTGCTTTGTTCTGATTAAAGAAAAGCCCACTCTGACCTGGCTGAGAGGTGTGCCCCTTGGGAGCTTACTTCAGGAATGCTGTCCATTCTCCTCATCTGAGGACAAGGGAGACTATATGGCATCATGGAAAAATTAACAACCTGATTATCTATCAGAATGCTGAACACTGGACCAGTGACTGTGACTCACTGGTGACCAGCCCCTGCCGCCCCCGCAGCCCACATTCCTCCCCCATTGCCTGTAACCAATTTACCGTGTTTTTTTTTTCTTTTTGCCCAACTGCCCTTTCCCACATAGTCATTGTTTCTCTACCCTTTAAAAGAAGCTGGCAAGTGGGGTGGGGTGGGGTGGGCAGAGATGTTACAGGATGACCCACTGCTCTCCCATACTGCCAGCAAGATTGGAATAAACACTCATATACATTCAACCTTGTCTCTGCTTAATTGGCTTAAGTAGAGACAGGCGACCTGGACTCATTTGTTGTCCGGTTTCAGTAACTTTGTGTATGTCATTATCTGTTACATGACGGCTCTTGTCTAGCGTGGCTGTGTCCTGTGCTAGCTGTCCAACCCGCCCACCCCAGTCCTGCCCAGGACCCCAAGAGAGGGACCTCCGCATCCCAGGTGACCAACCTGGGACCCACCCACCACAAGCTCCGCCCTCATAACAAATCCGTCCACTTCCGCACCTCTGGACCCCCGCTCCCCGAACCCGAGGACTTCCCTGACTGGCCCCGCCTCCTAACGTCCAAGCTTCTCCCCTGGCTCGTTACCCAGACAGGCTTGTGTTCCTGCAAGTCACCAAGGAGGGACGGCCGCTTCCGGTCAGGTTGTCCGGTTGGCACCCAGCTCTCCTTGCCTCATCTTTTCCGGTCTCAGTCAGGGCGGCAGGGCCGGAAGGCGCCCCAGCCCTTTCCTATCCTCTCTGTCATGGCGGCGCCCTGCCTCTCCTTCCCGCCAAATCTGTGCTGCGGCACTCTCAATAGCCACTTCTGGACCCCGCCGCTTACGTCGCCCTGGCTCTTACTCCCGACTGCCTTGGCGGCGCCCAGGGTTCACCGGAAGGAAAACTCGAAAGTGAGGCGGGGCCTCTGCCCGGAAGCGAGCGCGGCGCTGGGAAAGATGGCGGCTGTGGGCAATGCGCTACCTTGCGGCGCCCGGCCTTGTGGGGCTCGGCCTGGCGGACAGCCCAAGCCTGTGCCACAGCCTCGCACGCTCCTTGCCGCCGGGCCGGCGCTCATAGAGAATGGCGACGAACTGGTCTCCGCCGTGTGGCCATACCGGCGACTGTCGCTACTGCGGCGCCTCACGGTGCTGCCGTTCGCCGGGCTGCTCTATCCGGCCTGGCTGGGCGCCTCGGCCGCCGGCTGCTGGGGCTGGGGCAGCAGCTGGGCGGAGATCCCCGAGGCTGCGCTGTTCGCGCTTGCTACTATCTGCCTCGCGCACGCGCTCACCGTCCTCTCGGGGCATTGGTCCGTGCACGCTCACTGCGCGCTCACCTGCACCCCGGTAAGTGCGTGGGCCGAGCCCGATCTCCACAGTGTCGGCTCTCGCGGCGGGTCTCGGCTACGGCGTTCCTGTCCATGCACATCCGGCCCGGGCCACCCATCTGCTGGGCCTGGGTCCCGTGCGGCGCCCTATATCCTTGAGCGCTTGCATAATTTTGGTCCCACTACTTTCTTGCTGTGCGACCCTGGCACAGTTTACTTCCTTTCTTTGGGATTCCTCCCCGGTGTGGTCACTGGATTCCATAAGGCAATACCTGTAAAAAGCACAGCACAGGGCCCAACATATGTCGCTGTTTGATGGCTCCCATCCCAGCGAGTATTCGGCTGTTTCTCTTGGAAACAGCCCTTCATTGTCGTCTGCCTCCCACCTTGGTTTTCAAAATGTAAGGCTAGACGTCTACTACGGGGTGGGTTTTCCTGTCTGTGAAGTTTGGTTTGAAAACTGAACATCGGTCCTGCTGTCCATTGCGCAGAGGCCTCTGGTACTGCAACCAAAACGAGCTTGAAATGCAGTTAATAGCGTTTAAAAGGAACAAGGAGCTATTTGTGAGCAAGTGGTTTAACTGTTTGGGAGCAAGATGAGGGTGATGATAGTATGGACGCTGTCAGGATGTGACCTTTATCCCCAAGATATGGATGAGTGAGAGCTGCCCTGGGTCAGCAGTTGTTATCCTCTGCCCTGTCTCAGATGACAACAGCAGGTTTGGAGCGATGGGTGAAGAGGTCCACCTCCAGCCAGCCTCCACTCTGATCCCAGGTGTGTGTCTGCTGAAAAAAGAGGAAAGGGAACAGCACCAAGGACTACAGAAAGAGACAGGAGCCTCCATCTTTGACTTTGAATGTGGACTGAATACTCTTTCTCTTTTGAAAGTGTAATCTCCCTTATCCAACAAGCCTTATTCCAGGGGAGGGGCTCAAACTTTAGGGCTTGGTAGATTCAAGTCAGTACAGTGCAAGATCCCAGCAAGGGATAGAAAAATGGAAGGAGATTAGGGGAGAGTTTGACACACTCTCCCCAAACTTCCAGCTGCCTTTTGGCCTGCAGCTTAAAAGTGTGACAAGTTCCTCCCTGGCCGGTTTGGCTCAGCAGTTAGAGCGTCAGCCCGCAGTCAAGAGAGACCTGGGTTCGGTTCTCAGTAAGGGCACATACCTCAGTAGCAGTTTGTCCCTGGCCCCAGTTGGGTTTGTGCAGGAGGCAGCCACTCCATGTGTCCCTTTCAGGTCGATGTTTCTCTCTCTCTCTCTCTCTTCCTCTCTCTCCCTCCCGCTTTATCTGAACAAAAATGGAAAAATGTCCTCGGGTGAGGATTAAAAAAAAAGTGAGACAAGTTCCTTTCCAGGGATGGAGAACAAGGAGCTAAGCAGCTGTGGGATTAGAACAGATAGGTCTGAGTTTACCTCAGAGATCTCAGACACTGGAGCTTCTGCTCTCTGGGTTTCATTTTCCCCTTTTGTAAAATGAGAACTGTAACACCTACCTCAGGGTGCCATTGTGAGAAGAAACATGGTGTGGGGGAGAAACATCTGCAAAGCTTCTGGTATAGGGCTGGCACATGTAGCATTTATCTTCCATGACATTACCTGAGTTCGTAGATAGATATGTGTTTGTTGTTTTCTGTCTGTTTCCATTACCTGTGAACTCTCTGAGGGGCAGGGCCTTGTTTGTCATTGTCACTGCTGTGACACCCTTTCTCGCTCAAACACACTGGCAGAGCAGCAGTGGGATGGATGCAGCTCATGACTGACGGAGTGCTAATTGAGCTCCATTTGGTGCTTCCACCTCTTAGTGCTGAGGAAACAGACAAAACCTATTGCATTCATGGTGTTAGTGGGGGAGACTTGTACTCAGCAGTCAATACCAAAAAGAGAAAATAGAAATGGAATAGGAACGTAGTGATGGAACTTCATATGGGGCATTCAAGTGTGGCCTCCTGAGAAGACGACATTTGAGTAAAGACCTGAAAGCTGTATGACCACATGTCCCAGACAGAAAGAACAGCACATGCCAAGACCCTTAGCTGAATCAAGGATGAGCCTCCAGCGTCACTGGAGAGCACAGCAAGAATAGTAATGGGGTGGGGGGAGGAAACGAAGCAGCAGTAGACCAGGTGGGCTGTGACATGGATTTGGTTTACATGGATCAAGAGTGTACCTTCTGCCTGACAGTATTTTTCCTACAGTGGGGGTTGAGAAGGGTTCAGCAGCATCACTTTGCCTCTCATAGGAATATGATCCCAGCAAAGCGACCTTCGTGAAGGTGGTCCCGACCCCCAACAATGGCTCCACTGAGCTCGTGGCCCTGCACCGAGATGAGGTAGGGACCACCTGCCAGGCTGCCCAATGCAGGACTTGGGTGAGATTCCCAGGCACTGACATCCCACCTCAGGGGCCTCTGCCACAGACAAGCCTTCTCCCACAGGGCGAAGATGGGCAGGAAGTGCTGTCCTTTGAATTCCAGAAGATCAAGTATTCCTATGATGCCCAGGAGAAGAAGCGCTTCCTCCCCGTGGCCTTTCCTGTGAGAAACACCTTCTCTTACTACCAGAGCAGTAGAGGGTTTCAGGAGGACTCAGAGATCCGAGCAGCAGAGAAGAAGTTTGGGAGTAACAAGTGAGTCCTGGTATCCCCATATGTCCCTCCTGCTGACGGGGCTGGGCCTCTGCCTGTGGTCATAGGCTGTACACTCCCAACTGGTGGCCCCTTTCCTGTTTCTGCCTCTTCACACTCCTGGTCAGGGTTCCTGAGAAGTGGGATGGAGGAATCCTAGGTAAAAGTAGCCCCCTTCAAGAAATGTTTTCCAGTCTAGTCTCCCCTGAACTTGTCTCCTGACAGGAACCTCCTGGAGATCTCTCAGCCAGGCTCCCTTCCTGGGGAGCTTGGCCCATGGCCATCCTCATCTTGTTTTTGTTACTCCCCAATTTACTTTAAATTCTTTAAATGTAATTTCTTGCCGATCGCCTCATATATATCCTGGCACTTAAAGAATTGTGATAAGCCCGGCTGGTGTGGCTCAATGGATTGAGTGTCATCTAATGGACTGAGAGGTCCCAGTTTGATTCCCAGTCAGGGCACATGCCCAGGTTGCAGGCTTTATCACCAGGAGGGGGTGTACAGGGGGCAGCAGATTGATATTTCTCTCTCACATCAATGTTTCTGTTTCTCTCTAAAAAAAAAAAATCAATGAAAACATATGTTTAATAAAAAAGAAGTCAGTGATTAGGATTGCTCTTATTTGTACCAGCTAGAATGGCAGGTGCTCTGCACACACTTTCTCCTTTAATCTTCACCAAAAGTGCCAGTGCTGACACGTGCCTGGGAAAGGGCAAGGCTGAACTTCAGAGCCCCAATCCTGGCCACTATAATAATCATCCTGACCCTCAGAATCTCTAGGGAATTCTTTCCAGACTTAATTGTTTACCACACTGTCAATCTAATAGGAAGACTTATAAGAAATGTTGACTACTCCCCGCCCTTCACCACACCTCAGGTCCTGACTCCTTTAAAGGCAGCAGACAGAATTCAGGGTGGGTTTCATTTATTTTTATCACACTTGGGCCACTGTGGTTTCTTTATCATGGACCACGTTCGGGAACCCTGCACACCAAGCTACAGTCATCCGTCGCCACTTCACGCTTCGACTTTCGTGGCTTCACTCTATCACGCCGTGAAAGTCAAAGTGCGAAGTGGCAGTGGATGATGGTATAGTAAATAAAGAATCCTACATCGGGAAATTCATTTATCACAGTAGAGTCTGGAACTGATTAACTGCGATAAACGAGGGCTGACTGTGCAGAACACAGCCTTGGTGCTCCCTCATCACCCCTTCATTACATTCCTAAGGCTTCTATTCAGGGAATTTGGGGGAAATCCTGGCTCCGAACCTCCCCTCTCCAGAGTGCAGTGTGCTAAGGCATTGTATTTCAGGCCTCAGGGAGTTCAAAGGCATCTGGCTGCTGGGCCTCCTCTGTGCAACTTCAGCTTCAGGGCTCCTGTCCCAGTCAGAGATTTTTTTCTCTTCTTGCTTTGTCTGCTGACCAGATGATGGATTCTCATTTCACCAGCCCTCACTCAGGGCTGGGGGTGCTGCTTAAAGAGCTTTTTGCCAATTCAGAACCTTCATCTGGGTTCTGCAGAGCATAGTGCTGGGGCAATCAGCGTGCCTGCCCCAGTTGGGGAGTGCAGCCACAGTTGAATGGAGCATCCCATCTAGAAGCTTGCCAGGGTTTCTCATTTCCTGAGGAGGTCTTCAGTGCCTCCAGGTAGAGGTGTCGGGATGAGGCCTCCAAGGCTTCCCACCATGAACAAGCCTTGGGTCTGGTTTCTTGCAGGGCCGAGATGGTGGTGCCTGACTTCTCAGAGCTGTTCAAGGAGAGAGCCACAGCACCTTTCTTTGTGTTCCAGGTAAAACAGCAACTCCAGCCCTTCTCCCACCTCATTCTTTAGGGCTTTCACAGCCAGAATGACCTGTGTCCAACACCAAACCCTCAAACTTCTTTGTCCTAATGAGTCAGAGTCCATGGCTGAAATGGCCCTCAGTGTACATCCAGTCCTCAGCAGACATCCTCATTACGTTCTCGGGGCAGGTGTTCTGCGTGGGGCTCTGGTGCCTAGATGAGTACTGGTACTACAGCGTCTTCACGCTCTCCATGCTGGTGGCCTTCGAGGCCTCCCTGGTGCAGCAGCAGATGCGCAACATGTCCGAGATCCGGAAGATGGGCAACAAGCCCCATACAATCCAGGTGTGGCCAGCAGGGTCCCAGAGGTCTTGGTGGGCCTGGTGCAGGTGCGTTCCCAGAGCTGACCATACCCCATCCCACTCAGGTCTACCGAAGCCGCAAGTGGAGACCCATCGCCAGTGACGAGATTGTTCCTGGGGACATTGTCTCCATTGGTGAGGCCCAGTTCTGTTTCTCCCTTGTGGCTACTTAGTCTTGGCTTCTGCCTGACCCTCTGGTGCTACTTCACAGGTCGCTCACCGCAGGATAACCTGGTACCATGCGATGTGCTGCTGCTTCGGGGCCGCTGCATTGTGGACGAGGCCATGCTTACAGGGGAGTCAGTGCCACAGATGAAGGTGCGGGGAAAGGGAGTCCTCAGTCCACTCAGGTATATTGTTGGAGGAGCCACCAGCCAAAAGAAGGATGGAATCCTGTCCCAGGAGTCTGGAGGAGGCAGAGTGGGTGTAGCATCTGAACAGAGCTGCTGATCTCAGTGCCCTGGACAGAGGGAAGCAGGGAGAGGAGAGGAGAGTCCCAGAGCATTGGTACATCCAGGTGCAGATATCAGACTGAGGTGGACTGAGAGAAATGGGGAGGGTATGATTTCTGGGAGAGGCCAGGTGCAGAGCCACAGGGAGTAAATGAACATGCAGCTAGAGAGAAGACACGTGGGGCCTCTGTCCCTAGTGAGATTCGCTGGGCCCAGTGAGGAGCAGGTAGGCTCCTCCAGCCCCACGGTTCAGCTCTTCAGAGAGAAGGAGGCTGAGATGGGACTGACTGTCAGCGTCACTTTCCTCCCCTTCTCCCCAGGAGCCCATTGAAGATCTCAGCTCTGACCGGGTGCTGGACCTGCAGGCCGACTCCCGGCTCCATGTCATCTTTGGGGGCACCAAGGTGGTGCAACACATCCCCCCACAGAAGGCCACAACAGGCCTGAAGCGTAGGTGCCTTGGGGATTTCTGAGGGTTGTTCTGACCCCACCTCTCCACCCCTTCCGTGTCTGTTTGGCCATGAGAGAGTCCAGACAAAAAGATGCGAATGACACTGGCTCTGCTTGTTTCCACAGCGGTTGACAGTGGGTGTGTGGCCTATGTCCTAAGGACTGGATTCAACACATCTCAGGTAGGGCATCTTGCCTAACTCTGGGGAGGGTGGGCCCCATGGCAAGTGGTGGACACAAGAGACAGCGTCCCTTTTAGACCCCAGAACGTCCACCCCACAGGCTCACTCTGGCAGCAGATACTGGGCCAGAGGCCATGTGGAGGCAAGCCCAAGACCAAGCCTGCTTTCCCTAGCTGAGGGTCTGGTGAGGAATAGACAGCAGACCACCTGTTGCCATATGTTTTTGGGGTCTTGAACAGAGTTGAGCCCATAAAATTAAAGCATCAAGAAGACTGCCTGATAGAGGTGATGGCCAGACCTCCTTCCAGATACCCTACCCCCATCTCCAGGCCTTGGCCACTGTTCTCCGTATCTCTTGGTTGAGTTGCAGCTGCCCATGTAGCCATGTGGTCCCTGGAACATCTGCATGGTGGGTTGCAGGACTCACTGATGGGCCTGGGGCTGGTGCTCTCTGTCAGCTGAGGGAGGATCTGGCCCTGATGCCCTCAAGCAGGGGAAGCCACCACTCCCACCCCCAGGAAAGGCCTCTGACTCCGTCCTTCTAGGGTAAGCTGCTACGCACAATCCTCTTTGGGGTCAAGAGAGTGACTGCAAACAACCTGGAGACCTTCGTCTTCATCCTCTTTCTCCTTGTCTTTGCCATCGCGGCAGCTGCCTATGTATGGATTGAAGGTGAGTGCCACGTTCTCCGCCTGTCTGTTGAGTCCATGCCCACCACCCCAGGCTGGCAGGCCCTGTCTCCATAGGCACCAAGGATCCCAGCCGGAACCGCTATAAGCTATTTCTGGAATGCACACTGATCCTCACATCAGTAGTGCCCCCTGAACTGCCCATCGAGTTGTCTTTGGCTGTCAACACCTCTCTCATCGCCCTGGCCAAGCTCTGTGAGTACCTGGGGCAGAACTGGGGTGCCAGGGGGCTGGGGCCTGACAGGACCCCTGACCCTTTCTCCACCTTGCAGACATGTACTGTACAGAACCCTTCCGGATTCCCTTCGCCGGCAAGGTGGAAGTGTGCTGCTTCGACAAGACAGGGACCTTGACCAGCGACAGCCTGGTGGTGCGTGGTGTGGCTGGACTCAGGTGAGCATAGAGTCCTAGGCCGAGAGGTACCCAGCCAGCAGCAGAGGTCTTTCTGAGAGCTCAGAGGCCTGAGAGCTGCACACCCAAGCCCCTAAAGTGAGGGCCTGTCAGAGACCCTACTCAGGGGGCTTCCTGTGCAGTCTCAGTGTGAGTGACAGCGTCATGGCAATCACCTTGGGCTCCAAGCAGCCATATGACCTCTGGGGGCATCCGTGAGACAAGTACAGGTGTCACAAGGACCAAATCGACACCCTGCTGCCCCTGAAGTGATTAGCATGGAGTATAGGGGCCCATCCCTCCTCCTAGCTGGCAATTCCCAGGGGTCCCTCCACCCTATAACCAGCTGTTCCCCTTCCTTGCAGAGATGGAAAGGAGGTGACTCCCGTGTCCAACATCCCTGTAGAAACCCACCGGGCCCTGGCCTCATGCCACTCCCTAATGCAGCTGGATGATGGCACCTTGGTGGGTGACCCCCTGGAGAAGGCCATGCTGACAGCCGTGGACTGGACACTGACTAAAGGTGAGGGGCTGGAGTCTTGGGCCCAATGCTAACACACTGTCAGCTCTCACGCCCCCGGACAGGCAAGCCAGACCCCTCAGAGACAACTGTGTATCTAACTCAGGGTGGCGGGTGGGTACAGGCACCTCTAACCTGGGGCATTTCACACCCTTGGGTGTCCCCCTGGGTTGGAACCCAACCCATCCAAAGTTACGGGGCAGGGTCCTCTAAGCCCAGGTCTCCCAGCTCTTACTCCCTGGAGCCAGGAGCCCACAAGCCTTGGGTCTGGGGATGGGGGGAGGAAAGAGGGGCAGGTGGGGGCCTGGCTGCCTCTTTGGAGCGAAGGCCCTCAGGACTCGTACTTATTTGTTTCCAGATGAGAAAGTATTCCCCCGAAGTATTAAAACTCAGGGGCTGAAAATTCACCAGCGCTTTCATTTTGCCAGTGCCCTAAAGCGAATGTCCGTGCTCGCCTCCTATGAGAAGCTGGGCTCCACTGACCTCTGCTACATCGCGGCTGTGAAGGGGGCCCCTGAAACCCTGCACTCTATGGTGAGCTGAGCACGCCCATCAGGTTCAGGGGGGAGGTCAGTGCAAAGTGGTCGGTGACGTCCTCCTGCGTTCCCTGCAGTTCGCCCAGTGCCCACCCAACTATCACCACATCCACACGGAGATTTCCCGGGAAGGAGCCCGCGTCTTGGCTCTAGGGTACAAGGAGCTGGGGCATCTCACCCACCAGCAGGTAAGGGCCCAGGCTCCCCACCTGCCAGCCTCTCCCCACCTTCCACACACGTTCGCATCATCTGGTGTCTTCACAGTGCCCCTATGAGCAGGCATGATTTCATCTTCCTCCTCTCCGGCCTCTACCTTCAGAGATTCTAGGTGGGCCCTGGCTGGTTTGGCTCAGCGGTTAGAGCGTTGGCCTGCGGACCAGAGAGACCCTGGTTCAGTTCCCGCTAAGGGCGCGTACCTCGGTTGCAGTTTGTCCCTTGCCCTGGTTGGTCATGCGGGTGGCAGCCACTTGATGTGTCCCTTTCACATCAATGTTTCTCTTTCTCTCTCTCTCTCTCTTTCTCTCTCTTCCTCTCTGTCCCTCCCACTCTTATCTGAACAAAAATGGAAAAATGTCCTCAGGTGAGGATAAAAAAAAAAAACTAGAGAGATTCCAGGTGGTACTCAGTCCTGGGTCCCTTCTCCATGGTGCCCTGCCTCCGTAGGACCCCATCTTATCCTGGAGCCTAGGGCTGCTTCTACCCAGCTTCCTACCCCCATACCCAAGGGTATTTACACACCCTCAGGAAACATCAGGAGATATGTTGTACTATCATCTCCAGTGTAGCTCTACCCCTGCCCAGCTCAGGCACCTGGTTACTGCATGGTTTGTGGACATTTCTCAACTCTCAGTCATACCCCCACATCCCATCAGCTCTTCTCCCACCTCCACTGCCAACACTCCTTTACCTGCTTCTACCATGGCTTCCATCCAGGCCTTTTGCACCCAGTAGACAAGAGATCCTTCCAGAATGGATGCCTGATCACCCTGCCCCCTCAGAGCCACCCCTGACCCTTCCTGCCCTGTTCTCTCCTGCTTTATCTGTCCCATGGCACTCAGTACTCTGACTCTGATTGTATTTATTACATGCCTCCCCCAGCAGACAACAAGCTTCACGAGTGTGGGCATTTTTTGGCTTCTGGGATGAGGTAGAGGGTGAGCACGTGCAGGGTGGTTAACAAGGAACAGTTACTAACAGAAGCTGAGACACAAGACCTCCGTGACAATATGCCATGTCCACATCAGGGAATAGAAGCAACATTGGGGGTGGGGACCACCCAGCCGTTACCAAGCCCCTGTGTGACAAGAGAGGACAAGCCCTTCTCTGACCTCCCCACCCAGCACATTGTTGAAGCTTGAGAAATTAGGGGGGATCATGATTGTGAGAGCACACCATGTTTGTTCACAGGCCCGGGAGCTCAAGCGGGAGGCCTTGGAGTGCAACCTCAAGTTCGTCGGCTTCATTGTGGTCTCCTGCCCACTCAAGGCTGATTCTAAGGCTGTAATCCGGGAGATCCAGAATGCCTCCCACCGGGTATGGCTGCTGGGCTCTCACACCAGGCTCCTCAGGCAGGTGGGCGAGTGGGTCTTGGCTCCTCCTTACAGTGAGGAGGATGTGGCAGCAGAGGACACTTCCACCTTCGGTGGGGCAAGTGGGTACTTCCTGGGGCCTGCAGAATCTCTGGGAGGTTGAGGCTGGGTAGAGGGTGTGGAAGCAATAACCAGACAGGTCACGTTTGTCTGTCTCAGTGGCTTTAGTCTGTTCATCCTGGTGGTTTGTGTTACCTAATTTGGGATTCGGGATGCAGTTTAGAGTATAGGAGGTAAGTGAGCAGTCTCAGAGGATGGTAACATGATCAGTCCCCACCTAGCACTCAGCAGGCCTCACCAGCTATATACTGGGAGGCTGGAGCATTTGATTCCCACCCTCCCCACACCCAACCTCTTAGGCAGCAACCAAGCCAAGAAGGTCCAAACCAAAAGCTGGTTCATAGTTTATCCTGTAAAGGAAAGGTATGGATGTTCTCAGAAAGACAAACATACATGTGTTATTTTTACAAAACATCCCCAGATGGGGACATATTGTGGTCTTGGAAGACTAGCCCCTAGTAGGAGGCCAAGACCTCCCTCTGTGGCCTTCCTTAGAGGGGACTCAGGCACCAGGTCTCCAGGCTGGAGTTCTGCCCCACTGAACCTTTGCCCCTCTCTCTAGGTGGTCATGATCACCGGTGACAACCCACTCACTGCCTGCCATGTGGCCCAGGAACTACACTTCATTGAAAAGGCACACACGCTGATCCTGCAGCCTCCCACGGAGAAAGGTGAGACCCTGAGTGCCTGGGGGCTAGAGGGACCCTGAGTCCACAAACATCTTCTGTCCTGGTGACACAGGCCTGGATCACAGCCTTGTTCCTCAGGCCATCTGGCTAAGGAGCTCCACTCGTGTCTAACAGCATGAGGGCAGTCACTGCCTCCGAGATCAGTGATGACTTATACTCTCAAGGCAGTTGATTACAGTCACACCATTTCACATTTCATATCGTCACACCCACCCTGGGCCTGACAGGCTGCCTGTGCACAGCGAGTATACCCCATTCCCAAGCTCAGCAACTGCTAGTGCTGGTGCTCAGCATGGCCAGGCCCTAGACAGAGGGCTTGGTGTATATTTGCCACACTGTTCCTTCACCCTACGCAGGAGGGCTTTCCATCCCCATGCCACGCAAGAGAAAGCCATCTGGATTAGCTGTTGTCACTCAGCTTTATAGACAATGAAACAGAGAGACTTGAACCCACCCACTCAGGTTACTTGGTGTTCCTGTGACTAAGCATTTGAACCTGGATGGTCTGACTCCAGCTGCTGGCCACTCCTGAATGACCAAAAAAACTGATCACTCAATTGGCTACAAATGGTCCCCCAGAGTCAGACCAATCGAGAAGCCCTTCCAGCCCCAGCACTTGCTGGCTTGTGGGGTGGGGTTTGTCAGATGCTAAAGGATGATGCCTGCTGCAGGACCTGGCTAGGGAGTAACATGCACCAGTGGTGTCACAGGGCTACAAGCCAGGGGAGGGTGTTGGTAAGGCCCAGCCAGGGCAGCTTCTGAAACCTGACATTCTCCCAGTCTGCACTGCTGGTCCCAGGGATTGTGAGCAGGCAGCCCAGAGGTGGCTGTCAGGGTTGTTGATTGGCAAGTGAAGCTGCTATAATAAAAGGGCAACAACAAGAGCCAGGTGGAGGTTAGTTTCCTGCCCAACCAAGACAGTCCAGGGTGAGCCATCCAGTGCCAGGAGAGCTAGTAATCCAGCCAGCTGGCAAGAGGAAGTGACTCGAGTACTCCAGCCCTAGGAGAGTGGAGTTTCAGGCAGGCCACAAGGGTGGGGCTAGTAAGGGAATCAGTTTGGGGTATGCCTGGGTTGGAATTTGCCCCCTTCCCATGGTCTCAAGCCCTGGGTTCTGGGACACACACCCCCCCCCCCATCTGTTTTGGGGGATTAACCTTTATAGGGTAGTCAGCAGTCCAAGGTGCAGGTGTGTAGATGAGGCTTGGGAGGGGTATGGAAGGGTAGGGGTCAAGATGATGCTCCAGAGAGGAGAGACTAGGACCAGGCATGTTGAGTCTGTGTGATGGGTCTGCCTGGGCAGTTGAGCTCTATCCTTGACCCTGGGCACTGGCCCTTCAGGTCGACCTTGCAAGTGGTGCTCCATCGACGGCAGCATCGTGCTACCCCTGGTCCAAGGCTCCCCAAAGGCACTGGCCCTAGAGCATGCCCTATGCCTCACGGGCGATGGCTTGGCCCACCTGCAGGCCAAGGATCCCCAGCAGCTGCTACGCCTCATCCCCCATGTGCAAGTGTTTGCTCGCGTGGCCCCCAAACAGAAGGTGAGTGTGGGGGTGACGGGCAGGCAGGGCCCTGAGGTGGTACACAGCTCTCACTTGGTCCTTTGCCCACACAGGAGTTTGTTATCACCAGCCTGAAGGAGCTGGGCTACGTGACTCTCATGTGTGGGGACGGCACCAATGACGTGGGTGCCCTGAAGCACGCCGACGTGGGTGAGCCCCACAGGCAAAAGCTATTCCTTTATTGTTCTACCAGTCAGGGCTCAGCATGAAGGAGGCAATGAGGGGGTAGGGTGGGGCCAATAGGATCAGGGATCCAAGGGCAGAAAGGGTACAGGTATCTAAGGAACAGTGTGCCTTGGACCACAGGGAAAGTTTGGGGAGCCAGGGATGCACTGTGGGGCAAATGCGACTTAGTTTGCTCAGACCTCCTGGGCACCATGCAAGCACAGAGACCAAGGGGTGAGAGAACAGTTGGGACAAACAACGAACTGAAACACTTGTCAGCAGTTCACAGCCTCGGATCTCTATCGACAGAACATACTTACCTGCTTCACTTGTTGACTACATTTATTGAGTATTATTTACCTCTTAGAATTTTGATCCTTGGCAGTAAACTTCTTTGGAATTCAGTTAGTTTTGACCTATTTAGTGTTACATGCTTTGGGGGACTTGGTTTTTATTTTTAAGTAGTTTATAGAAAGTAAGATAATGCTCTCTGAGGTACTCTTTGGGAAGGTCCAGTGAAGTGGGGAGGTTTGACTCTGAGGCTTGTGGCTCCATCTTGGCATTGAGCAGACAGCCCACTCTGGCCTGGGGCCAGTGGGCTCCCCTGGATTCTGACACACACATACCCCCAACCCCAGGTGTGGCACTCCTGGCCAATGCCCCGGAGCGGGTTGTCGAGCGGAAGCGGCGGCCCCGAGACAGCCCCGTCCTGAGCAACAGCAATGTCAGGGCCACTTCCAGGGCAGCCAAGCAGAGGTTGGGGTTCCCACCCCCAGAGGAGCATCCCACCTCCCAGAGGGTGAGTCTTAGGAGGGGAGCGCTAACACCCCCTTGTGTCCAGGTCTCACCCACTGCCATCCACCCCATAGGACCGCCTAAGCCAGGTGCTACGGGACCTCGAGGATGAGAGCACACCCATCGTGAAGCTGGGGGACGCCAGCATCGCGGCGCCTTTCACCTCCAAGCTCTCATCCATTCAGTGCAGTGAGTCCTGTCACCTGTCCTGTCCCTCTGCCAGTCCTGCATGCCATCCATACTCACACCTGCCTCCCCTATCCATGCAGTCTGCCACGTGATCAAGCAGGGCCGATGCACGCTCGTAACCACACTACAGATGTTCAAGATACTGGCGCTCAATGCCCTCATCCTGGCCTACAGTCAGAGTGTCCTCTACCTGGAGGGTGTCAAGTTCAGCGACTTCCAGGCCACACTGCAGGGGCTGCTGCTAGCTGGCTGCTTCCTCTTCATCTCCCGCTCCAAGGTGGGCTGGGACCCCAGGCAAAGCAATGACTCCTGCCTTATTCATGGCAAGAGACACTTGGGCCAGCAGGGCAGGCCTTGTTAGAAGTGCTGCCAGATGTTATCTTTTTCTTTCTCACAGCAGTCCTTAGGGTGGGAGCTGTCATCCCCACATTACAGATGGGGAGTGGTGGGGGGAGGGGAGAGCCCTCTGGGGCTCTTCCAAGTAGCACAACTTGGGCCCCAGCACTGTCCACAGGCAAGCGGGGCTCTGGATGCTGGTGCCAACCCATGACTGCAGGATGTGGTGACTGCTCTCTGCACCTGGCCTACAGGAGGCATGGTGGGTAGGTGACCCAGGGCACTGGTCTTGGACAACTTGCCCATGCCCTCCCTCCCCCACCACTGCAGCCCCTCAAGACCCTGTCCCGAGAGCGGCCCCTGCCCAACATCTTCAACCTGTACACCATCCTCACAGTCCTGCTCCAGTTCTGCGTACACTTCCTAAGTCTTGTCTACCTATACAGCGAGGCCCAGGCCCGGAGCCCTGATAAGTGAGTGCCGCCCCAGTAGTAGTTACACGGGGCACCCAGAAGAGCCAGCATCCCTATAGTGGGAGGTGGGAGGACTATACAGGTGCGGGCATTGGCCTGGGGCAACCAGGGCCAGGCAGGGCCTTGGCTGTGTGCAGGGGCAGTGGGAGTCACAGAAGTTCCCTCACCCCCATGCATCCTGCAGGCAGGAACAGTTTGTGGACCTCTACAAGGAGTTTGAGCCAAGCCTGGTCAACAGCACTGTGTATATCATGGCCATGGCCATGCAGATGGCCACCTTTGCCATCAACTACAAGGTGAGCTCCAGCCCTAGCCCAAGCATGCCCTGCCCATCCACCTGCCCCCCACAATACACAAGTATTCATCTCTCTGTCCCCACAGGGCCCACCCTTCATGGAGAGCCTGCCTGAGAACAAGCCTCTGGTGTGGAGCCTGGCTGTGTCACTCCTAGCCATTATAGGCCTGCTCCTCGGTTCCTCACCTGACTTCAACAGCCAGTTTGGCCTTGTGGACATCCCTGTGGAGGTGAGTGTCCCTGTGGATGTGGCCCCAGGACTTGACCTGGGCCCATCAGCAGACCCCCAGCTCATCGTTGCTCCTTGCCCTGCAGTTCAAGCTGGTCATCGCCCAGGTCCTGATCCTTGACTTCTGTCTGGCACTCCTGGCCGACCGCGTCCTGCAGTTCTTCCTGGGGACCCCAAAGCTGAAAGTGCCTTCCTGAGACAGCAGTGCCAGCACCCACTGCCCACCCTGCTACTGCCGGGCAGGGGCCCCATGTGGGCCCCAGGAGGGAACACTGCCCGTACTGCAAGGCCGGCCCAGCCTTGCCCACCAGGACTGAGCTGGAACCCCCACCCCCCACCCCATGGCCATCTACGGGCCTGGCTGACAGAACCAGCCCCCAGCCCAGCACCTTTGGTAAATAAAACAGCACCCACAATTTTAAAAAGCCCTGTCTCCACCTCTGTTTGTACACACAAGGGGTCACTGGGAGGCTGGGTGTTCACCAAGGAAGGTCCTGGCACCCTCCCAGAGAGCTGTGTGAGGTTGTTAAGACACTCTCTGCAACAGTCAGGGCTTGCGTGGGCTGAGCTTCCAGCAGAGCTCTGCATATTTCCTGGTTTAACAAGCACCCCATATTTCAGCTTCCTGTTTTCACACGTCAGGCACTGACTGGAGTATTAGAATCTATGGCATTTTTCCCTTTTCAGTAGCATGCAAAATAACCATGCCGTCCCCCTGTGGTGTCTTAGATGTGAGGAAATTCAGTCCATATTAGAATACTGACTCAGGTTGGGGTCCTGAGGTCCTGAGCCATTTAGGTGCTGTTGCCATCTCAGTCACAGCCAGACTTATCCAGCAGCCTGGCTCTGCCCTCATACTTTTAAAGGGTGCTCACTCACTGCAACTCAGAAATGTCAGAGTAGGCAGCATGAGAGCTGAGAGTCGGCCAGTTGGAGATAATGCCTTCTCAACAGCGAAAAACTTGAGGAAGCAAAGTTACAAGCATGAAGTTTTCAATTGCAGCCAGGAATTCAACTAAGCTGCATGTGACAACCTTGGGCCAGGGGACCCAGACCCAGACTTCTGGGCCACCTCCCCTCCCACCAATACTAATTGGGGAGCTCGCAGTCCTTTCTTGCCCTCTTGGTCACCCTCAGTAGCCCGCCCCTGTCTGGCTTCCCCAGTGAATGAAGTGTTGCCTACAGTCCAAGGAAAGCCTTGAAAAGCAATAGGAACTAGTCATAAATGCCTATGAGTACAAGCACTGGCTGGGCAAGGTCCCAGAGGGTAGTGGCCCCAGACCCCAGCCTACAGACGGGTTGCTGTGGTCATGTGGAATGTAGGGGGATACAAAATTCCTGAGACAATTTGAGGCGACTCGGGGGTGCACTCTGGAATTGGGTTTGTCAGGGATGATTCTTTGGGGGCTCAGGGCAGGGTCACTATTGCCCTCACCACCACCCCACCCCATCCCAGGCCTGAAAAGAACTAGGAGCACTTATGGCTACTCTGTGATTGGGCCTCATAAACCTAATCTAGCTTTGAGGGTCACTGGGAGTCCCCCAGGCCAGGGGTCTCCTCCACAAAGCTTTAGGGGACTTAAGGTTCTGCTGTAATTGGGCAGGACTGCAGGCCACTCAAGGGGATTCATGTCTCTAGTCGGGCTGGGATGGGTTCAGGGAATCAAGAGACCCCAGCAGGGCTATCACTGGGTATGTGGAAGGGTCTGAAACAGGCTGACTCTGGGGTCACTCCTGGTGGAGTGTGCTGGGGCCTTGGGGGCTCGCGCAAAGATCTGGGAAGAACTCGAGCCAGGATAGAGTCCTGGAGTGTCCAGGTCTGGGGCGTTTGGGCCTGGGGTGGTCGCCAGGAGGCACTGGCCCTACAGCATCTCTTCTCCACCACTTGGGCAGGGGGCTCCTTCCTTGCTTCTGAGCCTGGGGGCGTGGCCTGCGGCAAGGGCGTGCTTGGGGTGATAACGTGGGGGCGTGGTCAGCTACGGGGTGGAAAGACACGGAAGCCGGTGGCGGCTGCAGCAGGAAATCTGGGCTAGGCCCAGCCGGCACACGATCCCATCCCAGTCCCTGTCCCCACCGAGCCATCCCTGGGCCATGGACACAGCAGAGCCGGGTAGGCGGTCCGGGATACGGGATCCAAGAGGAGCATCCCGGCCATACCCCACTTCCTAATTGAAGGGCCGTGGTTGTCCTCCATCCACAGAGCAGGGAGAGGAGTTCCTGAATGGGGAGGATGCCGGGGATCCTCGATTATAGGGACCGGACCTCAAAGCCGAGGGGGGCCCCGGACAGCAGTCCCTGACCCCCTCTCGGTTTGGCGTCTTCACCCCGGATGCCTGGGGGAAGGGGCCCAGGAAGGGGAAGTGGCTGCTTCTGCTTTTGATATTTGTGATGGGGGCAGGGTGTCGTGACCGATGATGGAGAGGAGAGGGGAGGGGGCAACAACAACGCAGCAGGATCCCCACCTGGCTGTTCTGGAGCAATGCTGATCTGGGCCCCCTAGAAGGCTGGGGTGGGCGAGCACTGTTGTAGAAATGCAGCAAATTTTCAATTGTGTTTGGGGCTGTCTTTTGTGTCTTCTGTGCATATTGAGTGTCAGTCATTCAGTCAGTCTGCCAGTGTTTCTGCCACAGCTCTGTGCCTGTCTGCCCCACATGTATTTCCATCTGTCTGGCCTGAGGTCCATGTGGTTCCATTGCCAAGCTGGCTCTCTCCCCTGGGAACAGTACGACTGTATCTGGGGCATCTGTTTTGTCTCTTTGCTTCTGAGCTCATGTGTTTGGCTGTCTCTGCTCACTGTTGGGTTGTGCCTGAGTCCATCTGCCTACCCTTAATCAGCCCCACCCACTTCCATTTCAGTTCAGACACCCACCCTATCCCACACTCCCCACAGAATCAGAACTTTCTCTGTGTCTCTCCTCTTTTTTTCTCTTTCTCTCCCCCCACCTCCAAACAACCAGCCAAGGTGCTGTGAATGGAGGGAGGCTTCGGTGTGCCCATATGTGATACTCCCCCCTTCCAGGACTCCCCCAGGCTCCTGAGAGCAGGAAGAGGTACAGTGACATCTTTCGGAGCCTGGACAACCTTGAAATCTCACTGGGGAATGTGTGAGTCTGAGCCTGAGTCACCCCCAAATCCTGCCAAGATCTCCAAAATTCAACCCCCCAAATATACTGGAATTCCCCACAGTGGTTCTAGAACCCCCCACATAACCTTCTGGTGACCCCTTAATACATTTGAGATCTCTATAATCCCACTCTCTGAACAGAGTTACCTGTAACCCATCAAACTCTGTCTCAAGTCCCATAAAAAAGCTCACCTGGTTCTCCCTCAAAACCCCATTCCTTAGACCTCCCAGGGACAAGAGATGTCACTGAGGTGGTATCCAGGACCATCTGCATCCACTAAAATGCCCTGGGATCCTCAGCACCCCTGGGAGGGACAGCCTGGGTGGAGGGTGGTATCATGATACCCTTACCTCCCAGGTCCCTTGATATGCTGGCTGGAGACCCTGCACTTTCAAGAGACCCAGAGCCTGACAAGACCCCCACAGCCACTGTGGTGAGAGGCAGAGCCAAGGGGGTACAGAGAAGGGGGCCTCCAAGAAGAGGGGCTTTAAGGAGGTGGGCCCCTGCCCTGCATGATCCTGAACGCTGTCTCCTTCCCCCTCAGACCAGTGAAACCAGCCATTGGAGTGGCCCCTCCCCAGAGGGTCCTGCACCCCTTACAGGTAGGGAGCTTTGAGGCCGGGTGGTTTGGGCAGAAAGAAATTCTTTCCTTAACAAGTCATCACTGACTACCTGCCCTGTGCACCTGGGACACTGCAGTGCACATAGCAGAGCTGAGCCCCTGTCCTCAGGGAACCCCAGTCTGGGTGGAGAATCAGTGTAAAATTGCAAGTCATTGTAAAAGGGTATTTTGGGGAGTCATTTGGGTGTAGAATAGGGGTCACTGGTCTGGTCTAGAGGCTCAGGTGAGGTCAGGGTTCTAACGGAGTTTAGGATTCAGAGGTCCACCTGTCTGCCCCAGGGGAAGAACTGGACTTGCGGCTCGTTCGGACCAAGGGTGGTGTGAACGCAGCCCTGGAGTATGCCAAGACCTGGAGCCGCTATGCAAAGGAGCTGCTGGCCTGGACTGAGAAGAGAGCCAGCCTTGGTGAGGGTCCCTTCCACCTGACCTCAGACTCCAGGCAGCTCCCACATCCTGCCCAACTCAAACCCTTGCTGTCTCCACCCAGAGATGGAGTTTTCTAAAAGCATTATGAAGATCGCTGAGGCTGGCAAGGTGTCAATCCACCAGCAGGTAACCATGTCCAAACCCCTATGCCCAGAACCCAAACCCTCCAGAACCCCAGCCCAACCCCCTAGATCCTCCGCATCCTCCAACATCCCCACCACAGAACCACATGCCACTGCAATACATCTACACCCTGTTTCTGGAGCAAGACCTCAGCCTGGGAGCCCTGGCCATGGAGACAGTGGCCCAGCAGAAAAGAGACTACTACCAGGTGAGGGAGCTATGCTGTGCATGCATCATTCCATTCACAACCACCCAGCAGAAAGGCACTGTTGCCATTCGTGCCAATTTGCTGATGAGGAAGCTGAGGCCCATAGATGCTGAGGATCTTGCCCAGCAGAGATTCAAACCAGGCTTCCTGTGCAATTGCAAAACTATGCTTTTGTTTGTTGATGGGGTGCAAGGTGAGGTACAGAGTGTTCCCAGGAAGAGACTCTTGGTATCTCTGGGTCAAGGCAGAAAGGATGAGGTGACCACTAAGTCTCTTTATTGGGATATGGAGTGGGGGAGAGCAGGTCTGGGTGAGAAGACCTCCCCCAGGAGAGTGCCGCCCCTGTAAAGGGTCCAGAGGATGAAAGGCACATGGCTCCAGGGAATGGAAGGACTGGTGACCCTGAGACAGCATCCCCATCCCCCATCATTGCCAGCCCCTGGCCGCCAAACGGACTGAGATTGAGAAGTGGCGGAAAGAGTTCAAGGAGCAGTGGATGAAAGAACAGAAGCGGATGGTGAGGCTCAGCCAGGGTGGGTGAGGGCAAGCTAGGGGAGGAGAGGAACTGGCACTGACCTGCTCCTGCCCTGACCCCAGAACGAGGCGATGCAGGCATTGCGGAGGGCCCAGCTCCAGTATGTGCAGCGCAGCGAGGACCTGCGGGTGCGCTCCCAGACATCCCCGGAGGACCCAGCCCCCCAGGCCTCACTGGGACCCAGCAAACAGCAAGAGAGGCGGCGGCGCTCCCGTGAGGAGGCCCAGGCCAAGGTGGGGACCCTGCCCCATGCTCCCCCAGTGCTTTGGTGCCTCCCAGCTCATGCTGTCTCCCACATACACCCCGGCCTTGGTTCCTCCAGGTGCAGGAAGCAGAGGCGCTGTACCAGGCCTGCATCAGTGATGCCAAAGCAAAGCAGCAGGACTTAGAGGCCACCAAGCTGCGGATCGTGTCACACATACGCAAGCTGGTGCTGCAAGGGGACGAAGTGATGAGACGGGTGAGATCATATCCCCAGCTGAGCAGGCCTCCCACTGCTCTCCCTAAACTGTCTCCAGGACACCAAGACTCACTCCATCTCCATGGACAGCCAGTTCCCACCCCCAGACCCTTTACTGCGCCTCTGCCTAAATCCCACTCCCATGGGGTCCTCCCCACAGAATGACCCTGTTCAGTTCTGACCAGCCACCCCACCCCCGCCAGCAACTGCCCTCATCCCTAAGCTGCTTCCCACTGCCCAACCCCACCCCCAAAACCTGACTATGCTCATGTTTCTAAGGGTCAGCTCCCCACTTCCACCCCCTTCTCTCATGCCTGGTCTCCATGGTCTCCACCTGGCAGGTGACCCTGGGACTGTTCAGGCTGCGGGGAGCGCAAGCAGAGCGTGGTCCCCGTGCCTTTGCCGCCTTGGCCGAGTGCTGCGCACCCTTCGAGCCTGGCCAGCGCTACCAGGAGTTCGTGCAGGCACTGCAGCCGGAGGCCCTGCCACCCTTGCCACCTGCCTTCTCTTTCCAGGAGTTTGTTCCTACCCCGCACAGGTGGGCCCCTAGGAGCAGGAAGGAGCCCCAAAGGTGGTGCCAACTGTTGGCATCATGGGCCTGAGAACTCAGGGTCAGAGAACGCAAAGCCTCAGTACTTGGATTCGGTACTCAATGCGTTCATTTGGGAGCAAGGGGTTGTCCCCGTCCTGGAAGGGTCAGGACTTGAAGTGCTGGCCACCGGTGCTCATGCACATCAGGGCTTGCAGACTCAGGTACTTGGAATTGGATCCAAGATGCAGTGCCTGTGTGCTGTCACCCCTGGTCAGTGTCCTGGTTTTCAGAGCCTTCAAACCTGTCCTCTCAGCTCCCCCCTGGACACAAGAAAAAAGCTCTCCGCCCACCCCGCTCCACGGTTGGACGAGAGTGCAGCTGAGCCCGGCCCTTGGGAGGACACAAGCACAGGCTGGCAGGGTGAGTGCGGTGAGGAGCGGGCAGGAGTGGTGCTGAGGCAAGGGTCGTCCTAACTGACCTGTCCCCTTCTAGGGACTTCAGGCCTCACTCCAGGCAGTGATGTGGACAGCGTAGGCGGTGGCAGCGAGTGTCGATCCCTGGACTCTCCCACTTCCAGCCCAGGTGAGGCGAGGACCTGGGCCTGACCCACTCCTAACCTCTGACCGTCCTGCAGCCCTGGCCAGGCTCTGACCTTCAATCTCTAACCTATCCTTTACTCTCTAACCTACCCACACTCCTGAACTACTTCTTCAGCCTCTGACCTGTCTGACCCCCCTCCCGACCTCTGACCCTTTTCACAAGTACATCTGTGGGTGGTTCTGAAAGGCCTGAAGGTCTCCTTAGCCTTGGAACTTCCCATGACCCCTGTGACCCCGACCTCTGTGACCCTCTGATTCCAGGCCCTGGGACCAGGCGGCTGGTGAAGGTCTCATCCACAGGCACTGAGTCTTCAGATGACTTTGAGGAGCGAGACCCTGGTGAGGCTGGAAGCAGGTGGAGCAGGATGGGGGCAGGGGTGGACCAAGCCCCCTGACCCTGTTTTCCCGCAGACCTAGGAGATGGCCTTGAGAACGGGTCAGGCAGCCCCTTCAGGAAGTGGACACTGTCCAGTGCAGCTCAGACACACCGGCTGCGACGGCTGAGGGGCCCTGCCAAGTGCCGCGAGTGCGAGGCCTTCATGGTCAGCGGGACCGAATGTGAGGAGGTGTGGCCCGGGCAATGACCCAGTGCTCTCTGCTGACCTGTGACCTCCCTGAGCCCAGGCACCTCCATGACCTCATATTCCTGTGACCTTCCCACCCCTGGGACCAGTCCTGATCTGATGATTTCCCATGAGCTTCCCATTCCCTAAGGATCATTACAAGCTTCACTTCTCCCGCTGACCCCTAATGACCTCCCTGACCCTGTGACCTTCCCTCCTTCAGTGCTTTCTGACCTGCCACAAACGCTGCCTTGAGACTCTGCTAATCCTCTGTGGACACAGGCGGCTCCCAGCCCGGACACCCCTCTTTGGGATTGACTTCCTGCAGCTGCCCAGGGACTTCCCGGAGGAGGTGCCCTTTGTTGTCACCAGATGCACAGCCGAGATAGAACAGCGTGCTCTGGGTGTGCAGGTGGTACCTTGACCCTTGACCTTTGACATTTGACCATCCCCAGCAATGGCCTGGTCCTTTCCATGTCTGGATTACTACCCAGGTGTTTATTTTCCACCCTACCCTGCAGGGCATTTATCGGGTCAGCGGGTCCCGGATTCGTGTAGAACGTCTGTGCCAGGCTTTTGAGAACGGCCGGGCATTGGTGGACCTGTCCGGAAACTCACCTCATGATGTCTCAAGTGTCCTCAAGCGATTCCTCCAGGAGGTGGGTGTTCAGGGGGCAGGGGCAGGGACTGGGCAGGCTCAGGTTAAGGATCCTCAGCAGCCTACCCACAGCCATGTTCCCTCTGCCATTCCACCCCCAGCTCACTGACCCCGTGGTCCCCTTCCACTTCTACGATGCCTTCATATCTCTGGCTAAAACCCTGCATGCAAACCCTGGGCACAACCCCAGGACCCCCAGTCCCAGCCCTGAGGTTATTCGCTTGCTGAAGACCCTCTTGATGCAGCTGCCTGACTCCAACTACAACACTCTGCGGCACCTGGTGGCTCATCTGTTCAGGTGTGCACTGTCCCTGACCTTGAAATGGACTTCTGACCTAAGGCATGGATCTGTGACCCCTTACCTGGACATGTGACTACTGACCCCTGGAACTGATGCCTGACACTGACCTCTGACCTTTGCATGTGTTTTCTGAGCTCTGAACCTTAATACATGACTTCTGACTTTGGGTGCCTACTCCTGACCCTCATCACTGGGTATGTAGCTGCTGGTGTCAAACAATCACCAGAGCCACTGACCCATGACTTGGGCAACTTGCCACTAGTCTGGCCTACAGTTCCTACCCAATGAGTGATGACTGTGCACTCTGTGCCTTTACCCTTCTCCTTACCCCGTCCCCAGGGTGGCTGCACAGTATGAAGAAAACAAGATGTCTGCCAATAACTTAGGCATTGTGTTTGGACCAACGCTGCTGCGGCCACCGGACAGTCCTGGGGCAGCTGGCACTGGCCCTGTTCCCTGCCTCCTGGACTTTGGGCACCAAGCCCAGCTTGTTGAGTTCCTCATAGTGCACTATGAGCAGATCTTTGGGATGGACGAGCTCCCCCTGGCCACTGAACTCCCACCTCAAGACCCCAGCCTAGCCCCTGGGACCCTCACAACCAGCCCCCAGCCACCACCCCCATACCTTGCCCCAGATGCCCTGCCCTCAACCCTACCCTCGGACCCAGACCCAGACCCTGAGCCCTGCAGTGCCCTGGAGAAGCATCCTGAGACCATGGCCCCCGAGGTAGGAACCAGCCGGGCCCACAGATATGGGGAGGGTCTTCTCTACATTTAATCTTCTCACTCACTCTCTCCTCTCTTCCTTCCTTTCCCTTTAATTTTCTCTTTCATTCCTTCCTTATGTACCCTGTGCTCATTTTAGAAGAAAAAGTGAGGAATGGAGTGAGGTAGGAGGTAATAATGGAGTAACAACAGGTATAGCTCTGCAGAGGTACTAACGTGGGTGATCATTTATTCCTTCAACAGAATCTTTATTGAACACCTATGTGTCAAGCATTATTCTAGGCATTACATATACATCAGTGAGCAAAATGTTCAAAGAAACCAGCAATAAACAAAGAAATATGATACAGAGTTAGTTATATAGGATGTTACATGGTGACAGATACTATGGAGAAAAGAAAGGGTAGCATAATGTAAGGGATATCAGGGGCACCAAGGTGAAAGATGTTGGACAGTTATTGTAGCAGTAAGTAGGATGGTGTGGGAGGTCTCATGGAGAAGGTGGATTTAAGCAAAGACTGGGAGGATGTGAAGGAGAAATAAGCCAGGCAGAGATCAGGGTAAGTGTGTTTCAGGCAAAGAGAATAGCCAATGCAAAGGCCCTGGTGTGTTCAAGGCACAGCTTCATGCTGCAATGAATGATGTGAAGGTGGTCAGAAATTAGGCCAAATAGGTCTGTGGGCCACACCTACTGTTCATGGGCACTTTTAGGCTTCCTGTCATTCTCACCATAGTCCTGAGTGACGGATACTGTTAGTGAAAACGATTTACAGAGACTCCGAGGGAGGTTTCCCTATCCCTCAGATTCTGCTATACCTGCAGTTCCTGGTTGTGCAGACCTCCTCCAAAGCAGCCCCCAAGCTAGGAAAAGGGCTGCCAGTGTGCTGTGAGACTCTGAGAACTGGAATGACTCAGAAAGTGCTCGGACAGTGTCTGACACACAGAAACAATTCCAGCTGCTATTGGCATTTAGCTAGAGGCAGAACAGTGAGAATATACAGCTAAAAAGTGGGTGTAAGGTTGCAGAGAATAGAGCAGGAAGGGGATTCACCTCATCCTAGTGTGGAGATGGTTAAGTCACATCCTGGCCTAGCCCTCTGCTGAACAAGGGTGTTCCTGCCCTCACAGAGCCCACAGTTGAAACCAGTGACATTGCTCTGCACAGCAGGACAAGCAGTACACTGCTGAGGGCATCATCTCGCCTGGCCTGTGTGGGTCAGTGGTTGAACGTCGACCCATGCACCAAGAGGTCGCTGGTTCGATTCACGGTCAGGGCACATTCCCAGGCTGTGGACCAAATCCCTGGTGGGGGGCATGCAGGAGGTGGCCAATCGATGTTTCTCTCTCTCTCTCCCTCCCACTGTATCTGAACAAAAAATGGAAAAATGTCCTTGGGTGAGGATAAATAAATAAATTCTCTCTCCCTCCCCCTTCCTCTTTCTCTAAAAATCAATAAAGAAAAAAAATTTTTAAGAGGGGGGCATCACCCTGGCCGCTTTGGCTCAGCGGTTAGAGCGTTGGCCTGCGGTCCAGAGAGACCCAGGTTTGGTTCCCGCTAAGGGCATGTACCTTGGTTGTGGTTTGTCCCCGGCCCTGGTTGGGTCGTGCAGGTGGCAGCCACTCGATGTGTCCCTTTCACGTCGATGTTTCTCTCTCTCTCTCTCTCCCTCCCTCCCCACACTATCTGAACAAAAAATGGAAAAATGTCCTCGGGTGAGGATAAAAAAATAGTATTAATAAAAAAGGGAGGAACATCATCTCACCCCAGACACCAAAACTACAAAGGCATTTGCATGTCCAGAAACAAACTCTCAGTTCTCCAAAGAACTGAAAAATTTTTGTTGTTAATTCTCACCTGAGGATATCTTTCCTTTGATTTTTTTTTTTTTTTTTTTTTTTTTTTTAGATAGAGTGGAAGGGAGGGAAGGAGGGAGAGACACACATCGATTGGCTACCTCCAGCATGACCCCGACTGGGGCCAGGGATCAAACCCAAGACCCTTTGGTCCAAGGGCCGACTCTAACTGCTCAGCCAAACCAGCCAGGGCAAGAACTGAAATTTTATTGTTGGGGTCTTGGTCTTGGGTTTCTCCCTACAGATTCCAACTCCACAGAGTGACCAGAGAGAGGAAGTGGCCGAAGACACCAAAAATGAGAGAGGGGAAGGTGAGTGTGTTGGGGAGTAACCCAGGAGTTCTAGGGGTACCCATGCCCAGCATAGCTTGGCTGAGAGATGTTTCCCGATGAGGGGGGATATCAAGAGTATTTAGTGATGCTCAATAATGACCACCCCTTTCCACAGTGTCCAGCCAAGGCCCCGAGGACTCACTCCTGGGGACACAATCCCGTGGCTACTTCAGCCGCCAGCCAGTGAAGTATCCCCGGGGGGGTGTGCGGCCTGTCACCCACCAGCTATCCAGCTTGGCCCTGGTGGCTTCCAAATTGTGCGAGGAGACCCCTGTTACATCAGGGCCGCAAGGAAGCTTGCGGAGGAAGGGGCTGGGCCATACTGCTGCCTCCCCGGAAGGCAGCCTCCTGCGCCGCACCCCGCTGCCCAAGCATTTTGAGATCACCCAGGAAACAGCCCGGCTACTCTCCAAGCTGCATAGTGAAGCTGTGCCCAAGGCCACCTGCTGCCCCAACCCTCAGCCTGAGGATGAGGAAGTCGAGGACCATCTCTGACCATCTCAGCACTCTGACCAACTGGCCCAGGACTGAGGAGACAGACCCATTTCTCCCCAGAAGTTCAGTGTTGGGGATTTTGGAGAGTTCCTATAAGGAAAAACTACACATCCTGGGGGAAGACTAAAATCCTTTTTGGGGCAATGTCCCAAGATCAAGTCCCCTCACTAGACACAGGTTACTGCCAAGCATCAGGGCCACTCAGGTTCAGAAGTCACACTCAGGGTCAATACTCAGGTTCCACATAGGTCACAGGATCCTTGGGGTCCACCCTAGTCTCTGACTCCTTGGACAGGAATACCTTTTGCTACTTTGGTTGTGGCCACTTCCCCGATTCTGCCCACCTCAGCTGACACCAAGTGACCCGCTCTTGGAGTGGGGGAGTGACAGTCCAGACACATCTGGGTGCCTGGGATCTGATGGCCTCTGAATAAACAGTGGGTCTTTATGCCCTTGGGTGTCTTTCTTTGCCAGGTGAGGGCAGCATCATCTGGCCTCATTTTACCCATCCGGGAAACCGAGGCTTCCTTTCTTGAGCACCTGTAGACAGTCAGGCTGGACCAGGGCACTGAGCTCGGTCATGCCTGCCCAGCTCTCCGCGTCCTGGACCGGCCCTGCATAATCAAATATAACAAAGTGCAGATAACTGGGACAATGGAGCTGTGTGCTCTGGGCCGGGCCGTGGGAGCCCAGGGACGACACAGGTCTCTGCCGGGCGCGGGGGCGGGATTGCGAGAAACTTGAGTGCGGAAGGACTGTCAACGGAGGAGATCCGCGGGGTTTGGGAGGCCTCTGCGCTGGGTGTCTCCTCGCTTAGGAAGCCGCAGTGGGGCGGGGGTCCGGGCGGTGGGAGCCTGGTCGGATCAGGGCGTGGCCTGGAGCTCGGCAGCGGATTGGACGCGGTGGAGCGGGGTTGGGCCGGGGGTGGGGGTGGGGACCCTGGGACCACCCTGAGCTGAGCCTGGGCGGCGTGAGGTCACGGCAGGAATTCTCCGGCCAAGAGTGACTCAGCCGCCCCCAAGGCCCGAAACTGCAGGCGCATGAGGTGTGCGGGGGACTGGGTGGGGGTCCCGCACCGGAAGTGGAAAGGGGCTGCTAGTCGGGGAGGAAATGGGGGGCTGCGGTTCCGGACGACCCTGTCCTCACCGTGCTGAGGAGGCGGGGCTTCCCCAGGTGGGGGGGACCGGGCGGGGCTCTCCCAGGTGGAAGGGGCGGGGCTGCGAGGCTGGGCAGGGACAGGCAAGCACAAGGCGGTGGGGGCGGGACCCGGCCTCCCGCGCTGTCTCCCGCCGGCGCTAAGCACACCCAAACTCTCCACTGCTTGCGCGGTCGCTGGGCCACGGGTCTCCGACCAGGCCCTACCCCCCGCGAGGCCGCCCGGTCTGTGGCATGAAGGACGGCCCAGGTGAGGCCGGCACGGAGAGTGTCGGATGGGTGCGGGTCCCTGGGAGGGTGCGGCGTGTGTCCGCGTCCCGGGTGCCGCCCCCTTTTTCCTCAGCCCCCCTTCTCAGCAGGGGGCCCCCGGAAAGCCCCACCAGCTGCCCCCTTTGTCGCGGAGGCTACCAGAGTTTTGCCCCCCACCCGGGATGGCCCGATACCCCGCCCGCTTCGGGAGCACTCTTGCCCAAAACCCGCCGCCCAACTTCTGGGGCCGTGTCGCTGCCCACACAGGTCTCCCCAGTTACCTCCAGGCCCCAGCACCGACCGCTTACATGGTCCCAGCAGTGATCCCATCCTGTCTATCTATGACCCCCGGGCTCTGCTCTCTGCAGTGACCTCGACACCAAACTGACCCCTCCCTACTTTAACAGCTCACACCCCTTTGTCCTACCCTAACCCCTCCCCCAACCAGCACAGATTGGACCCAGATTGGCGGCACGTGGGCAGATGGATTTTATTTTGTTTCTTTAGGTTACAAAACGAAACCAAGTGGAAAAAAAAAAACCTAGCCAGTTGTTTTATTTTGGAGATAATCTTTGTAAGCGTCATATTTGTAAATAAGTAACAGCAGTCCCACCATCCCCACCCCACCCACACCCACCCCTCCTGCAACCCATGGAGCTTGCTTTTCTAGGTCACCCTGGTCCACTTTGCCCTGAGGCATTTGAGTTTGAGAGCTCTGAACTTCCTGTCCTGACCCTATCCTCTGGATGCTGCTCCTTTCTATGTCCTTCCAACAAGCGCTGCTTGCATTGACTTTTTAATCTGTGTCCCCCAGATGGTCACCATGGGCCAGTGCTACAACAACGAGACCATCGGCTTCTTCTACAACAACAGTGGCAAGGAGCTGAGCTCCCACTGGCGGCCTAAAGATGTGGTTGTGGTGGCGCTGGGACTGACTGTTAGTGTGCTGGTGTTGCTGACCAACCTGTTGATCATCGCAGCCATTGCCTCCAACCGTCGCTTCCACCAGCCCATTTACTACCTGCTCGGCAACCTGGCTGCAGCAGACCTCTTTGCCGGAGTGGCCTATCTCTTCCTCATGTTTCACACTGGCCCGCGCACAGCCCGGCTCTCGCTCCAGGGCTGGTTCCTGCGGCAGGGTCTGCTGGACACAAGCCTGACAGCATCAGTGGCCACACTGCTGGCCATCGCTGTGGAGCGACACCGCAGCGTGATGGCCGTGCAGCTGCACAGCCGCCTGCCCCACGGCCGTGTCATCATGCTCATTGTGGGAGTGTGGGTAGCCGCACTGGGCCTGGGGCTGCTGCCCGCCCACTCCTGGCACTGCCTCTGTGCCCTGGAAAGCTGTTCACGCATGGCCCCCCTGCTCAGCCGCTCCTACCTGGCTGTCTGGGCCCTGTCCAGCCTACTCGTCTTCCTGCTCATGGTGGCTGTCTACACCCGCATTTTCTTCTATGTTCGTCGGCGGGTGCAGCGCATGGCAGAGCATGTCAGCTGCCACCCCCGCTACCGCGAGACCACACTCAGCCTGGTCAAGACAGTTGTCATCATCCTGGGTGAGTGGGACCCCACTTTCCCCCAACTCCTCCGAGACCTGACGGAGGAGTGTGATGGGAGGAGATGATTTGGGTAGGGAAAGTTCTCCAAGGAGGTGATATCTGAGCAGAGACCTGAAAGCTAGAGAAGGGAGAAGAGTTCCAGGCAGAAGGAACAGATAGCCCCAGGCAGCACTGGGCCAGCACCTTCAGAGAGGAGCGGAGGTCAGCACAGCCTCAAAGGGAACAGAGAGGAGTCAGATTTTGTTCTGAATTCCATGGGAAGCCCTTAAGAGTTTAGCAGGGAGGAACGTGGTCACTCTGGCTGTTGAAATATAGGATGGTCTAGTCTAGGTGGGGCAGGCAGCAAGAGGTCTTCCCATTAGGATATACCCACCCCACACACACACAAGAACAAGGAGCAACTCTTCCCAATGATCACCTTCCCCCTACTGAGTAACTGGCCTGTCCCAGTGTGACCTCTTTTTCCTATAGAACAGATCTCCATGTAAAAACGTCCAGGGCTCTGGCCACAGTGTACTAGTTAGGAAAGGTGTCCTTCTGGCAGACAAGTCAGAGTAAAGAGTCCCTTCTTAGCAGTTCTTCCCCATCAATCTGCCAAGGCAGCAAGACAAGCCTCTTTGGCACTGCAGACCACAGCTGTTGTCCAGGCTCTGGACACCCTTCCAGTCTTGAGCTGAGAGCTGTGGGTGCCAGGCCCCAGACAGCTGGCTCTGCTCACTTTGGGCTCCATCCCGCAGGGGCGTTTGTGGTCTGCTGGACACCTGGCCAAGTGGTGCTGCTCCTAGATGGTCTGGACTGCAAGTCTTGCAACGTCCTGGCTGTGGAGAAGTATTTCCTACTCTTGGCTGAGGCCAACTCACTGGTCAATGCTGTGGTATACTCCTGCCGCGATGCTGAGATGCGCCGCACCTTCCGCCGCCTCCTCTGCTGTCTGTGCCTCCGTCGGTCCACCCATGAGTCTGCCCGCCACACACCCTCCACCCGGACAGGTGCCAGCACTCGCATCATGCTTCCTGAGAATGGCCACCCCTTGATGGACTCCACCCTTTAGCCAACTTGGACTTCAGTGGGATTGCAGCAAGTGCCAGATCACACCACTGACCACTTGTGGATGTGCCTGGTTCAGCCCAATCTGAAGGACAGAATTAAAGGCAGACCCTTGGTCTGGATGGCACACCACCACTACCAGACCTCCCCAGACACACAACTCTGCCTACTCCAGGGCTTGGGGGTTTGTGATCATCCCTAGGTGCCCAGGAGAGTGTCAGATGGGGTACAGGAATCTGCCTCTTCAATCGTCTCGGGTTGTGGGGTTTTTAATGGACATTTTTCTGTTTTGCTGCACATCCCTGCTAAACCCTGTGGATTGCTTCCTTGTTCATGGTGGCATGTGTTAAAGGTTGGAGAGATGAGGACTCTCTCAGGCCACACTGCCAAAAATAACAAGGACAGATCATGGATGCACCATCTGCCCGAGGCTGATTCTTCAAGGGCACAGAGTTTGTGGCCCCGTGAAGCCTCCGGGGTTTGCCCACCCCCTTAGACTTGAGGGTGTTCATGAGGAAGGCATGTTAAGGAGTAAACCTTTCTTTCTCCTCTGAGATGTCCAAAGAACTTCTGTCATCAACTCAGTCTGTGACTGTGTCCCAGAATTGTCCATCTCAGCTTTAGCCTGTCAGGGATCCTTCAACATAGCATCTCCTCAGCCCTGTTCTCATTCACCTTCAGTGTCTGGCTGGCTGTTACTCCATCTCTCTTGGAGTCTTGCATCTGTTCCCTCTCGTCCGTCTTCTCCACTTATTCCCCTGACTCCATCTTGCTAACTGCTTGTCTTCATCCTCTGGAGCCCAGAGTAGTTCATGGCCCACATGAGCCCTCTCTCTCCCACCTGCCCTTTTGTCCTAGTCCAGGTTAACAGTCAGGTGTGTGCATCCCATTGCACACTACACACCTGCGGGCCAGGGGTAGTGGGATCCATGGAATAGGGTGCAAGATTTGAGTGTTGCTATTTCTCAAGCTCCTCTGATGTTGCCTTGCACACTGATAAACACTTTAGGTGCATTATTTAATCATCACCTGCAGATATTACACTTATTTTCATGTGAGAACAGTGGCTTTGAGAGGTTGAGATCTGGCCCATGGTTACACAGCTTTAAAAGGACACAGAGATGCATCCAGGGACTAGAGAAGCCCCTCAGGAAAGGGCTTCGGATTCCCACAAAGTGTGGAATTGGTCACAAGCTCAGCCTGGCTTTTCCACCTAACCCCACAGCCTCCAAAGGCCTCAGACATACCAGACCCCTGATGATGAGTCTGCCGCAGATGTACATAGAGGCACCCTGCTAGGCATGGTGTAGACCATAATCTGGATACTTGGCTTCCACCTAAGGAGGAGATAGGGTTATGTTCCTACTTCAGGTTCACACACAGAATAACAACCAAATTTGAAACCAGGCCTCCTATCAGAGGCCCAGTTCTTTTCTTTTTTTTAATATGTTTTTATTCATTTCTTAGAGTGAAAGGAGGCGAGAGAGATAGAAATATCGATATGTGAGAGAGAAACATCGATCGGCTGCCTCTTGCATGCCTTCTACTGGGGATCGAGTTCCAACCTGGGCATGTGCCCTGACTGGGAATTGAACCAGGACCTCTTGGTTCATGGGATGCTCAATCCACTGAGTCACACAGGCTGGGCCAGAGGTCCAGTTCTTAGTGACTAATGTAGCCATTGCCAAAGAACCAAAACCATCTAGGTCCTTCTATATTAAATGGGACTGGGCTTCCCTTTGGGAAAACCCATAGCCCTAAGGCAGCTTTGTGAGGAGGCAAAAATGAACTAGGGTTCTGGATACTTCTCCAGGGTCCAAGGTGGACAGCATGGCTCCTAGGGCCTGGGCCTGAATCTCCAGAGGTGATGACCCAGGCCAGCAGCTTCCACCATGTGCATGCCAATGAAACGTGCAGTCCTAGCCTCCACAGAGCTCTGGGCTTGTTGGACAGACATCACTTTGTGAGCCAAGGCAGCCAGCCTATGACCTCCAAAAGACAGCTCTGTGTTTCACCTCTGAGCTGACTGCTGTAGCATCAGCATCCTCCAGGTTCTAACACAGTCCTTGAGTCTCCTTTGGGATTTTGTCCCACCAGTTTTTCCTTCTCTTATAGGTTTCTTCTCTACCAGGTGACCAAGTTTTTGTCTCTGCTAATCTCTGAAGCTTTCAAAAACCTATCTCTCCATCCCATTCTCTGAAGGACACCAAAGTTACCTACTATTTTCAGACCTCCTGTGCAAGTACTGTGTTAGCAGCTGACCTTTTCATATGAGGCATTCGCTCTCTGGGCCCACATTCTAGTACTTCCTGTTACTGGGGCCAAGTGTCAGCTCTCATCAGGAAGCTCTTGAGGTTGTCCTTACACTGGCCCACATCACTCATTTCCATTCCCTGCTGTCTCGTTTGGAGTCCCCCAATCAAGTCACGCCAGATGGTTATTGCATTTTCTGTCCAGCAGCAATGGGAACCCTGCCCTGAAGGGTTGGCAGCCAAGCCAAGGGCCTTTTATGAGTCTGCATCTGGAGTCTGCCCTCAGAGCAAACAGGCCCCAGGTGGTCCCGTGAAGTTGGATAAGTAATTCTTGTCCAGTCTGTTCCTTTTCTGTCTCACGAGGAGCTGCTGTCTTGGGGCGCACCACAGGGTAGGTCTTCTGGAAGCATCCATTCATTAAGTGACCATGTGGTAGCGTTTCTAGTCCCGGAATGCCACAGAGCAAGAGAATGATTGAGAGGTCATGCTCAAGCCAGACCTACACAGGTGAATAGAACTGACTTTTACAGCTGAGAAAATCACTCAGTTCTAACTTCCCAGCCACCATCACCACACACTTGTGACCCTCATGGGAAGTTCCCAGGATTTGGGGATTGAGCAGGGGTCTGGGACCGGGGCTTCTGGAGATGAATGGGGTTGTTGATGGAGCTTTGAGGGCCAAAGGAGATTCTGAGAAGGGGTGGCTGAGAGGAAGCATGGGCTGTTCTGAGGTTTATGGGGCCTCTGAGGAGGTCAAGTCTGAAGAGGAGCTGCTCTGAGGAGCTCCTAGAGCGGAGATGTAGGGGTTGGGGCCGCTGGGCGGGGCGGAGCCGGCGTCGCCCTCTCGGACGAGCAGAGGAGGGCGGCGGGAAGCGCGCTGCCTCCACCACCCCGATGCCGGCACCTAGGGGCGTGTCCGTGAGCGGTGCGGAGCGGCGGGGCGCGGCGGCGGGGGCGGCGGGGCGGCGGGGCGGGCCCAGACTCGCGGCGAACAGGCTGCGGCGGTGGACTGCGGGGCGGTGCAAGCGCTCCAGGTCGCGGCTCCTCCTCAGCGCGCTCCGGGCCCCGCCGCCGCCCACGGATGCCCCGCACCGCCGCCCACGGATGCGCCACCGCCAAGGTCCCCGCCGGGCCCCGGCTTGGGAGACGTCCTGCAGCAGATCGTGGCCGTTACCGACCAGAACCTGAAGAAGGCGCAGGCCAGGTGCTGCGCGGGGTCTGCTGGGCAGGGAGCCTCCCAAAGTCCCCGCCAGGAAGGGGGCGTACCGGGGAGTCGGGGCAGCTGGGCCTTAAAGCAGAGGAGGGGCCAGGGCGATCGCTCAGGGTGCGTCTCTAACCCTGGACGGCAGATGTGGGGGTCTTGAGGAGGACGAAGAAGGGGTTTATGGGGTTAAAATGGAACCGATTGAAAGGCTTTTGGGGTTAAGCAGTGGGGTGGCGGGTTTTAGGAGCCCGTCCTGGGGCGAGAGGGATGGGTTTAAGGGGAGTTCGTGGATGGGGAGGGGGTTTATAGAATTATAAGAGGGTAAGAGGAGAGTGTTGGGGGTGTAAATGGATGGGTTAGTGGGATTCATGAAGTGGGAAGTTTTGAGAGCAAACAATGGAGAGTTGTGGAGAATGGGACTTGGGAATGAAGAGATGGGTGACTGACTAGGTTTGGGAACCACCAGGAAAAATGGTTAAAGGAGCTGGGTGGAAGTGAAGGACCCCTCTTTTTCCATTAATTTGGCAAATATTTATTAGGTACTATATGCAGAGCACCGAGCTGGCTGCTGGCAAAGTCCCAGTTCTCAAGCTCATGGTTGAGAGAGAACAAAAGTGCAAAAAAAACTTAGCATAAACTGTGAGAAAAGCTATAAGGAAAGAGGTGGCATGCTGCGCGAAGCCAGGTGGAGAGAGCACCGCTCCTCGCTCCTCGGAGGCCTGAGGTGAGAAACAGCAGAAAGAAAGCAGAGCTGGAGAAGGAAAGCCCCTAGTTGAGTTTGGAGAGAAGCTGGAGCTGAATCTCACTAGGCCTACGAGTCTCAAAAAGAGTTTGGGCCTTATTTCAGTTGCAGTGGGAAAATCACAGCAATTCTAAGACCACTGTCCCACTTACCTCCACACACCACTGTCAGCCAGCCAGGATTGGTAAAATCTTCTTCACAAGGCAGCCCATTGTATCTGGGTTCTGCCAAAATTCTTAGAAAATGGGAAAAGAGCCCTGGCTGGTTTGGCTCAGCAGTTAGAGCGTCGGCCTGCGGACCAGAGAGACCCGGGTTTGGTTCCCACTAAGGGCATGTACCTCAGTTGCAGTTTGTCTCCGGCCCTGGTTGGTCGTGCGGGTGGCAGCCACTTCATGTGTCCCATTCCCGTCAATGTTTCTCTCTCTCTCTCTCTCTCTGTCTCTCTCCCTCCCACTCTATCTGAACAAAAAAATGGAAAAATGTCCTCGGGTGAGGATAAAAAAAGAAAAGAAAAGAAAAAGAAATTGGGGAAAGCCTGAAGTCCTTTTGGAGGATGAGGTCTTGTTAAATGGGGCCTTGTTTGTGGGAGAAGGATGGTTTGGACCGGATAGTCAGTCACTAGAGCTTTCTAGTAAAGAGGGGTTACAAAGCCAGTTGAACAACAGCCCTAGGCAGTTTCATGACCTCTATCTGGAAAGTTAGAAGTGTCACCCACCACCACCACCACCATTTTATTCTACTTTTTGAAGCATTGTGCTAGGTGCTAGAGAAACCAAGATGCCCTCTTGGAGCTCACTGAAAAGTAGAGTGTGTGGGAGACTAATTTATAAATAGTTGTCATATCAGGAATATGCTGAATAGAGATAATACCTGGCACAAAAGAGCAGGACCAGGAGAGGGTGCTTTTGTGTGATGCCCTATTTGCTAGACTAGTTAGAGAGCAGGGACTTTGTTGTATTTTCCTTTGTATTCCCAGGGCCTGGCACCTAGCATTCATAAACTTTTGAGGCACTTAGATTCTGGAAGGATTAGCACTTCTAAATTTCCAGATAGAGGGAGAAAATGGGCTTTTCACATGCAGGAACCACAGAGGCAGTGTTCTGTGTTTTCGGAGCTACCTGTGTTCCTTCTGTTTCTAGGTGGAGACTTGCTTAAGGAGTGAGCTCTGCCCACCTGTGGCCTTCCTCGGGAACCATCACCCCAGTACAGCCCCTGGGCTGCTGCTTTTTCTTGTAGCAATCTCTTGAGATTCCCCTAGGTAGTCTTTAGAATAAAATGCAGTCAGTCACCTCTTCTTGCTGTTCTTGAAGACAACTCTTTCTCTTAAGGCTTAAGAAATTGAATAGTGACAACATGGCTGTTAGATAATCTGGTTCCTGGTTTCTTTCTGTGGTAGAAAGATCCCTGAGGCTTTTATTTTGAGACATATAGCTTCAAATATACACTTCTTT